CGTACATACAATAAAGTTCCCCGCGCTAACGCCCGGCATTGTTCGCGGCCCGCGGCTCGGTGTTTTCGTGTCCGGCCGATAAATGCACGCGTTACATGGAAAAACGTAGTAGAAGGCGTATATCCGGGAATAATCCGGTAATCGACGAGGATGCACGCGCAAAGACTGACAGATATGAGCCCGATAAATTGGGAGAGTTTATCCGAGTTTCGAGCACGTGGATAGGGAAATTGTCGAGGACTCTCAAACGATTTACATCGGCCGAAGTTCTTGTATAAATTCCGTAGAAATCTCAGCCTGTGGCTCGCAATTTCGGGTCACTCGCGGAACGAGGGCGGAAAATGGCACTAGACGACGAGTGTTCGTCTCGAGACGCGGAAGGTAAAACCCACTTTCTCGGCTGCGGAAGTGCTTTGGCGGAATCAACGAGGATCGACTCGGTCACAGATCGAGCCGCCATTGTTCCGGTCAGAAACGGTTCGGCTTAACCCGCGCCGAGTCTATTGATCCGATTAAATTGTATTTGAATCAATCAAACGGATTAATCGTGGAGCACCGGTGAAGTGGCTCGACGGGAGTTCGCCGATTAGGCCATTCGGTTAATCCAAATGTAGCGTAATTGCATACCAACTCGGTTGGATCGGAGCCTCGATTGTTCTCGATCCTGGAGATTGCGCCATCAAAATTTCAAGGCCCCGGATGGGGTAGGATTTTTCGCCGCCGAGGACACGGGGAGTCCAGGAATCGAGAGGCATTCGGAGGCGTCTCGATTCCTGGACCGAAATGCCGGTCGGACGGCTGGCACGTCGACGGACACGGTCGATGAAGAAGTTCCGGAACTGCGCCGGAACCGGGGTGCGGAACGTGTGCGGAACACGTCCATTCGCTGCGTAACAACGGTGCCTCTAGTTACAACTTGGTCCCCCGGTTCTGTACACGCTTTCCCCAGACGACGTGTCGGTGGGCCACCGGAAAATCTGACGGGTTCCTACGGCTTGTTTCGCCCGATTCACCCGATGCACGCCCGCTAATGTGTGTCTCCGCAATGTTGGCCGGCAGAGGGTCTGGCTTACATGCAAATATCGAGGCGCGACAAGCGGCGCGGATTGTTTCGTCCGACCGTATATTTAATAATGTCAACCATCGTACACGACGCCAGGGTGCAGCGTGGCCAGCTGACACGCAAATATTGAAATTCCGATAGCTCTGGTCAAATGTTCCGCCCACCCAAAGGGCGCTACCCCAGCTCCGAATAAGAGCCCCCACGTGGTCCGCGCACCCCCTGTCACATTTAATTATTTTTAATTACTCCCAGGGGAGTGCAAGGTGATCGCGAAGAATGACTTCTCATATTTTACCGCCGCGCCCCAGAGGGACGGAGGAATCAAGAAATTTGACCAAGTTCTTCAAAGGGGTGAGGCATGTCAAAGGGATGAAAAGCGGCACAAAGCAGCGCTCTCAGGTTGCGCGGAAGCGCCCAGAGGTGGTGAAAACCCGCGGATTGGGTGGTCTGATTCACCCTGTACATTTATTAATACCGAGCCGGGTGCCAGAGGGATGCTTGCCCGGCTTACATACAAATGTTGACTTTGCCACGGTACAGGCCTGATTGTTATTCCGGCATGGCCGCCGAATCAAGAATACGCAATTTGACACTCGCTCGGGCAAATTGTGCGTTTCTTCGGCTAATGGAAGAAACTGAAGCGGCTCGAATTACGATACCGCGGGTTCCGGCTAGCTTGTACTTGCGATTCAATGGAAATACACGATGTGTCCCATGATAACGCGACGGTGGATTTAACGCGAAATGGAGATCTGGGGGAGGCCGATACCCCGTACGTGCGCAACCCCCTACTCGTTCGTTCGCCGAAACGCCCGGCGCACCCTTTTTCGGTTTGTATCTTTTATTTTATCCCTCTCGCGTAAATCTTGCCGCGATTCCATCCGCCTCCGCCCCCGGCAGCCTCTGGTACGCGGGGCGCGAAATCCGGGACTGTTTGCTCACACCCCCGGTGTCGGTAATGAAGTTTCCTCCGTCAAGAGGACTCGCTCCCTTATCGAATCTTAACAACTCGCCGCGCCATCTTTGCGCTGCGGCTTAAAAGCGATTGCGAGTTAAAATTCCCCTTTGGCCGATAAAGAGGGGCTCTGCCGCCTTTGCGCCCCCCGACGAGCCCCAAGGGATGGATGCCTTGTCTTCTGCCCCATCTCCGAGGTGCTACGACGAAATTGCCACACCCGATCCCTCGGGATTTTAATTATCGACATTCGCGGGCAGACGTCAAATTCGACGTTCAAACCGCTCTTTGGGCAGACGTCAAATTCGACGTTCTTTGGGCAGACGAATGAAAGCCGACCATGATTTATCTCGCTGTGCTAATAGAGGAGGCAGAGCGCGAGATGGACGCTTCCCTCGGACGTGCTTGTCGGCTTTTTCGGAATCCCCGGGAAAAAAATTCGACCTGAGGGAAAATCACCCTGGCTAGGGCTTCCTCGAAAACGAGCTCGGGGGTGCTATATCGTGGAAAATTAATTTATTTCTATTTTTCTCCATTTTTTTCCCCTTTATTTTTCCCGGAATTTTAACGCCATCCCGAGGCGGGGCGTTTCCCATGGGAGTCGTGATTTTTTATTCCGCGGCTCTGGGATCCTCGGCGCTGGTCTCGAAAATGATACTACGTCTCTTGCGGGTTACTCGGCCGAAAATATGATATTTCGGGCCTTGGAACTGGTATTCCGTGACTCGTTATTCATCCGCTATCCTTTTCTCCGGCGCCCTCGCTGAATCGGGTAACTTGCCGGTCGGATAATTTTCACGCTGCAAGAGTTGTTCGAGTTCCGGGCAATTAGAGAAAAAGTTGCCGGAGCCCGTTATAATGCAAAATAATCCCGGGTTAACTTTAACCCCGAGGAGCCTCCCGAAAGGATTCGGACATTTACGAGCGGAGTCCGAACGAGGAACCGGAAACGCCGCGAATTTCCCGAGAACGAGAAAACTGACGGCGCGATTCCTCCTTCTCCTTTTCTTTTTTTTATCTCCCCCTTTTTAACGCGCTTTGTACCACCGCGGTTTTATTTCCCGCTGTTCGAACGAAATTGCCAGTGTAGGAAAGTTTGCCGTCGTTAAACTTCGGCGCTAACCCCTACAGAGGGAATTATTCATCGCAAGACTCGCGTCTCCGTCTGTACTTTTCGGGAAAAAAATAAAATGCCGAGAAAAAGAGGATGAAAAATTTGCGGCCCACTTTTTCGCCAACTAATTATTTCTTAACGGCGCTCTTCAAGGATTTGGCTCGTTTCCTTGATTCTTGAGCTCTGTGATTTTATCTCTTTTTTCAACGCGGCAGGATTTTTCATTCCAACCGGAAAATCGTTCGATTTCGGATCTGGATTTTGGAAGATTCGAACCGAGGAAGCCAGTTCGAAAGTCAGCGATCCTCCGCAATTAATTCGGAAGTTTGAATGAAACCGACGGGCGTCGGTTTGCCATTTGTTTGGCGCACAATGCCGTTCGTTACTCTTGTTTCGATGGATCGCGTAATATCCGTAATACCCGGGGAAATAATTACTGAGATATATAATCAGAGAGGTCGAGCCAGGGTTGTTACGAGTTGTCATTGGATGTTTGACGTTTGACAGGTGCTTCTCGAATCGATCGGGGACGTCCTACCTGTCGTTGTGTCCAGGGCCGAAACGTTTGCACGCAATTATCGTGTCCCCGATTCGGAGGAAATATATTCCCCTGGGTACAATTCTCCTTAAAATCTATCCAATGAAATATCCATTCCGCGAGCCTATAATAAATCGCATAAAGCAAAAATGTTAATAATCCCGGGACACTTTGATCGCGCGGAGAGAGAGACAGAAGTGCAGGCCCGAAAAGGCGCGCATTGTTTCTGCACTTATTTCGTTGGTGAGGCCACTCGTTGGCCGCAATTCCGCGAGCATTGAGCATCGGTGATTTTCATTGAAATAATGACAGGAAAATGGAGGCCCTCGAGGGTCCATCCGTCCATGGAGTTCTCTGGTGGATTCGCAAGGGTGCCCTTGATGCGCCCAACTCCGGGAAGGGTGCTTCCGTTCGGCGGGAAGTCGTTCGATTAACCCGGGGAATTAATGAAAATAATGAAGCCGATCGATCCGTCATCGAAAATTTGCATCTGACAGGTGGCTCACGCATCGACCCTCGTCGGTTGACAGGCCACGTGGTCTGTCAAACGAGTGTTTTGCCGACGTCGCCATGGCAACCCTTGCTACCCTCCACCGGGACAATGCGGACTCGTCGAGCCGAGCCTCGTCTTTGATGTGCCCGAAACCGACCGAGCCGCGTTTCCATCGGCTCGAAAAACAACATTACGTGCGACAGCGTTGTCGTTGCATAACTAGCTCGTTAGCAGCCAAGGTCGGATCGTTGGAAAGTGGACCAGAGGTAGAAAACCTTGGCAGGAGCCGTTCACCTCGAGCAAACGCCACTGACAGGTAAGTCCTCGACGATGACGAATACTCGAAGTAACCTCGCACCGATAATCGACCTTTCCCAATTATTCCCCGATCAGGGTTAGCAGTTCGAGTGGATCGATCGATCGAGCCCAAGGGAAGCCGCGTACTCGAAGAGGTACTCCTACCTCGATTTACGCGGTACATTATAACCCAATTAATTTTATTTCCAATACTTAATTCTTTTTTACGCGACGTGATTTTCATCCACGTGGAACGGATGCTCCCCGTAAATTGAGGAACCTAAAGACTCCCTAAGGGGTCGAAACTGCCCTGATTTTATTTTTTCAAGGGGTGACCGGATTCCCGAAGGAGCCTCAGGAAGCGGCTGCACCGGAAGGTTCATTAAAATCGAATTTTTATTCCTCCCCATTGTTCCAGTGGTCGTCGATGGGGCGAGCGGTGTGAACCCCGCCTTTTCCCGATCACTAGCCTTAATCATAAATCGAAGGAAGCACAAAGAGCGTCGATTAGCTTGCTGACTCGCGGGCCGAGATTCCCGACAGCAAAAAGGGAGTCTGTTTTGCGGGGATCAAAGGAGCAATAATCGGAAGAAGGATGACTGTAGATTTTTATTACTTGCCGCCCAGCCCGCCATGTCGAGCCGTTATGATGCTGGCCAAAGCCGTGGGCGTTCATCTCAACCTCAAGACCGTCGACTTATTAAAGGGTGAACACATGACACCGGAATTTGCGAAGGTAAATCGCCATCCTACCTTCTTATCCCCGATGCGGTGTATCGAACCGCGTCGGGCAAGCATCGTAATGAAATACCTTGTCAATCTGCATGACCTTATTAGAACGTTTTATAATTTTCTCTCCCCTTTCCAGATGAACCCTCAGCACGTGATTCCTACCATCGACGACAACGGCTTCGTTTTATGGGAAAGGTACGGTTGACGAAATTCATTTTCCGGAGTCCCTTCGGTCCCGGGCAAAAGGATTTAACCCAGCAGAAGTCGCTCCCTCTTTTCAACTTCCTTGTTCAAGATGTTATTTTTCCGGAGTAAAAATCGTTGGATACGGCGATGCACTTCAACTTCCACGTTTAATTGGCCCGGAAGAAGTTACGTCGAGCACGGGCTCTCTCTGCAATACCTCCGAGCTTCATGTCGACTTTTATCCTTTGCATGTGCTCCGCCACTTGAATTCTTGTTCAACGAGAAATGAAAGGAAGGAAGTAGGACCTTTTCGCCGGAGTTAAGGAGATACGTTTCGATTCGTTTTTCAGCCGACCGATCATGGGTTACCTGGTTTCGAAATACGCCAAAAACGACGCCCTGTATCCTAAGGACCCGAAGAAAAAGGGCATCGTCGACCAGAAGCTGTTCTTCGACAATGGCACGCTTTACGAGCGCATCATGCGATGCTACGTGAGTCCTCGAGTCAACTGTCGATTTTTCGCACTTTTGCATGAGTGCCAATTAATCGACTTCAATTTTCCTCCTTTACCAGGGTCCAATACTGCGTGGGAAAAGCAAGGAGATTCAGAAGGCAGACCTGGAGGCTTTGGAAAATGCTTTCGAAACCCTCGATACCTTTCTTCAGGACAGTCGATTCGCTGCTGGTCCCGACATGACGATCGCGGATTTCAGTTTGGTCGCGTCTGTTTCCACGGCCGAGGTTGGTATTCCTCATTTTTCCTCGCAATATTTCGAGCAGTGCGTCCCATTCGTTGAATTTATAGAGCCAGGCTTCGATAAAATTAAAGCAATGGTTTCCTGCCTTCCAGGGCTTCGGCTTCGACGTCGGCCGATACGAGTATGTAAATACCTGGTACAATCTTTGCAAGAGGGCCATGCAGAAATTCGGATACGAGGAGGTGAACGTAGCCGGGGGGAAAATACTCGGCGACGTGTTCAGGGCGAACCTGGAGTAGCCTGAAATAATCCGGAATTATTTATTCGATTTCCGGCGAGAGCGCCTTTCACGAGAGGATCGACAACGGTCCAGGCGAAGACCTTTTGAAATTTTTCAACGCGAAGGGAGCCCATTCGCGATTCCATCGATGGTCTACAGAGGAAAATATCCTCCTCGCGGGGAAAAAGAAACACGTCACATCCTGGTTAGGCAGCCTCAAAAGCCCGAGGTCCATTAAAGCATGCTGGACCTCCAGAAGTCCGATAAGCTCTCGGCGGAATGTCCGCGGGATATCCCGTAAATCCTGGGATGAAAACGGGATCGCGGGAGGTTCTTACGATGCCGGAGGGCCGCATTTGACCGGCATGGGAATTCGGTGTTTGCGGATGTACCTTTAATTGCGATTACCGTGGAGCGGCCGCAACGAGGCGGCGAGCTGCGGATGAAATTTCTAAGCGTCGCCGCAGGTACCGCGGATGCACCTAGAACTTCCGTCGCGGAATCGGAATCGCGGGAATAAACTTGCACGTTAATCCTCGAGCTCTCCGCATTATCCAAAAGCCGCGTCTTCTCCGCGCTCGATGGGGCCGATTATCCGCACGAGGCGGGAAATCGCGGCCAAGCCGAGTTATCATTCCCGCTCCCATTTTGTTTATCCCTCGACGCGTTTATCGTCTCAGATGTGCCAGTAAAAGCAACTTGTGCAGTAAAGATCTCCATCGAGTCGGCGATATCGGGATTATGTCGTTTAATGGCCCGAGGGACCCGCCTTGAAAGCCGCTCGAGAGGTAAAAGCTCCGACAATGCTTATTATCGCGGTGGCATACATTTTTTCCGTCGCTCCGAAATCCCGCGGACCGGGTTAAGAGACGCGGTGTTCCGGATTTCCCGATAACCCCTAAAAAATAATTCCCGATGACCGCACTTCGAGTTATCGCTTACGTGCTACTTTTATTTCCTCACCGCGTGACGAGTAGGATTTTTTTATCTTATCTACCAAGCATTTGCGTACGATTTGCCGGAGGAATAATTAGGAGGTAATTATCCTCCTAGATTTTCCTTGGATTGTTCGTCACCGACGTAACTCCCAGGGTGATTGTAAGCGCTGTTCGAGAATGACTGTGCACGGGATATCTCCGAACTCACTCGAAGGCACTCGTTACGTCACTCGAGGAGTCCCTGTAAATCGCTAAAATGATTATCGTATCGCTACCGAATGGGAAAAAATATTTTTGTACGGAACGTAATGTTAATCGTATGACGTCCTTGGTACTCCGCCGGTCGGGGATGGGGATTAATGCTGCGGGTTATTTTTTTTTTTCAGGCCGGGATAATGAGAAATCCGGGGACCTCGGGAAAAAAAAAAATGCCGCAATGATTGTGAGAGCCTCGCGTCGAGGTCGGCATTTGTTGTACTTCGGGAAATAGGAAACAAATCGATCGCTCTCATTACATATGGAGGAAACGCGTTTACTGAAAACCAGGCCAGTGTTTGCCTGACGATGGTGGATCGATGGCGGAGGAAAAATGTCCATTTCCAAGTAATAACTCCTTGGAAATTTAAATAATTCCATTCATCCGTTTTAATATAGTGTTCTCGAGATCCACGCACGAATGATGGCGAATAAATTAAGAAAGGCGTTCAACTCATTCAAGGTTGTCCACCTTTGCTTTCACTCGGCTCTGGACTCCAGGACCGTATCGATGCCTCCTTGGAATCCGGTCGATAAATTTTTTTTTTTCCGCCAGCAGTCTGCGATTTTAACCGAAAGGAAAAATTTCCCTGTACGAGGCGAACGGTTATCTCTCGCTGGGAATTATTGTAAAGGCGTCCGAAGGCGAAATCGATCGGAAATAATTCCCGCTATCGGGGATCCGTCCGCGCGAGTTTATTTTGCATTTCATAACGGAGCTCTCGATAAGACGGTCTTCGGGTCTTGTAAACCATCCGGCAGAGACTCGAGGTATTCTTGGTCATTGTGACAAGGAGGATACCATTCGAGTCACGTCTATCCCTCGTATATTTCTGACAGTCACGGTGATTCGTTTCGAACCGTAGAACGGCCGTTCCGTATTACTCAGCGGAGTGACTTGCGTATCTTTTTTCATCCAGAAGGCGCTCTCGGTGCCTCTCGTACCTTCCTCAAGTTTATCCCGGAATAATGGGAAATATTGCCGACGCAATCTGACTTTCTTTAATTTCCTCCCGAAACCGAGTTAGCCGAGTTTTTCCACGAGGAGTTGACCTCGTCGGGAAGTTTCCCGGAGAACAAGACCAGGGAAAGTGAAAATCTGGGTTAGCGCATGAATAATGCTTACCTGCCGGTAAATTGCAGGTGAAAACTGGTAAATAAAAATTCATCGACTCCGTAGAATTTTTATATTATTTTCAGCCGAGCGTATTAGCCTAATGGAAAAGCGAGTGCCCGGAAAAAATGGGAATTTCACCTTCGTTTCTATTACCTAGAAATTTAAGCCCACTTTGAGGAATCTTCCCAAGTAAGGGCACCTATTCAATCCATTCGATTACAATTCACTGATCGATTGCACACGCGGCAATACCTGATTGCGAGTGATCGCCCATCGCACCGATTGTAATTGATGGGACCGGATTAATTGCTCCTATTGGAAGAAAATCGAGCGAAATCGGGCCGATTGATACGTCACGTAGCTGGCGGTTCTTTCCTTGTGTGGGCGATTTTTCGCGAGGGTAAACTCTGTCGTATCGAGTCGAGCACCCCTACACCTGTTACACGAGTATTTCCGCGCCCTCCGACATTCCGGAAAAAAACATTAACACCCGGCATAAGTGAGGCAAAGCGAAATAAACTGCAGCACTTAAGAGCGACCTTGAGGTTCTCCATCCCCTAAAATTCCCAGCACCCTCGCCAGCCTCTTCCACGAAGGAAAACCACTCTCTTGGCGTGCTTTACCGACGATACGAAAATTGTGTATGAAAAAATCCCGCAATCTGTCTTCCTTAAAACCCTGGAAAAAAAAGAAAAAAAAAACATTTTCACCGAACCAGAGCAGTATTTCCTTGAACGGCACTCGACGAATATTTTGTTAATTCGAAGAATAATGATTCGATAGAAATTGTACGCGACGTTTCTTCGGGAATTCTGACGACTTACTGGAATTATTCTTTTAATTATAAATACTTTTCTTTGGCACTATTTAACCCCTTGAACGCGGAGCCATTTCGACATATGGGCGAAATTCCTCTGACCGTGCAGGCAATATTGGACCGAATGTTGGGCGCCTTTAGGCGCTCTTAGTAGCCAAAGGGTAAAGGCGCGTTTGTTTGGTCGGTGAATTTTCTTTTTCTCGGTGTAGAGAAAAATGCAGCCATTGTGCCGATCGATCGATAGGGCCATCGATCTAAGCGATATTATCTGACATTGCTGCGTCATGCAAGGAGCGTGGGGCGAGCTGGCGATGCCGCTTATAAACAGGAGTTGAAGCCAGAGTCGGTTAGACAGTCTGCGGTTCTCAGAGAGTGAAGGAAGCCCGAGCTCGTTCAATAAGGTGTGTCATGGCTAACGATACTATCCCGTATCCTCCATGTCGCGGAAACTTTGCGACATCCCCGAACTCGCGGTCTGTCCGGCCAGTGCGAAAACCACTGCGAGTGTTTCCCACCGAAAACTCGGTTTTCCGAGGGATCCGAGACAGCGGTACTCTAGAAGTGACGGACAGACGTTTAAACGTGGCCAGAAACGGCGATCAGTGCTCGATCGAAGAAAGTTAACCTTTTGGCTACTAAGAGCGCCGGACGTTTGGTCCAATATTGCCTGCACGGTCAGACGAATTTCGCCCGTATGTCGAAATGGCTCCGTGTTCAAAGGGTTAAAGGGCGAGAGAAATTTGTGAAACGTGGAACGCCATGCCGGGGGATGGACGTGACGGGAATATATATTTTTAAGAATTTCTTTAAAAATTCCGGATCCACGGGACCGCTGATATTTCTCCATGATAACGCAGTTCCCTGACAAACGGCGTTATAAAGTCGGTGAAATGAAAATTGTCCGGGGAGCGAGTGCCACGGTTTTTACGGTTAATAAAAAAGCACTGCAGCCTAATGAGACGAGTGATGACGCGACGTTTATTAGTTATAATAAGTGGACCGAAGGGGAATTCAAGTTTCCCGGGCCACTCGCGATTTCGTTTTTTACGGCCCCGTCCGGGGATCGGAAGTCTCATTAAGTCCCCTGGGAAACAATATTTCTTGTTCATTACTTCAGCCTCGAGCGGTGCCTTCGAGTGTTATAAATTAGCCGCGAGTAAACTCGACTCGCTCGGTAATTGTGGATTGAAGGATTCGACCTCGAGGAGCGAACTCGCGCCGGGGAAAAGTTAATTGAAATTGCGCGGACCGTCCTTGATTTTACTCAGGCGTTGGACGCGCTTTGTGCACCTTGGAAAGAAAAGGAAGACGTAATTGTTTAACAGTTGGTTCCGATAGCGGAGGGGACAAATGATACGGCGACTTCTCTCGTAGACCTCGCACCACGAGCTGGAACAAATCGACCGAAGACCCGAGAGAAATATCGCCCTCCTGGACTCCCATCTGTATCGCGTATTAATTCTCGCGACGTTATTTTTCCTTACAGTTATCAATATGCCCATCGATCTGTACCAAGTTCCCGGAAGTGCGCCATGTCGCGCTGTGCGATTGACCGCAGCCGCCGTTGGGGTCGACTTGAACCTGAAAAACGTCGACCTGTTTAAAGGCGAGCATCTTAAGCCAGAATTTATCAAGGTAAATATCATGCTCAAGTTTCGCAGAAAAAGAAAAAAAATGAATATAATTAATTAAAGACGAAAATTGAATACGAAATTCTATCGACTTCCGCGGGGCTGCACGAGTCGGCGATGACCGACTGATAGGAATTTTATCGACAAGCACGATCGGTAATAACCTTCGAGCGACGACAACGTGTAATCAGGAAAATGGTGGAGGATGTCGGTGATAATTTTCCTTCTTGTCCAGGAATTTTATTCCTGCCAGAGGGCGAGTTTTGCATTGCATTTGTTTCTCGGGGCTGAATGCAGGCATCTCGCGGTGGGATGCAAATGCGTCATGTTATTTCTGTTTTTCAGATGAATCCTCAGCACACAGTGCCGACAATGGACGATAATGGCTTCTATCTCTGGGAGAGGTGAGACTCATTTAAGCCATTCACGCTACGTATACGTTTACAGACTCCTTTTATCCGGTCGTGTACACCGGCCGACTTTTACAGCCTTTTACGAGGCGCTTTCTCGGTAAAATTCCTATCGAAAGCAATGGCAATAAAAGCTCAGATCGCTTATCTCTCCACGCATCTCCGATCGACTGTAAACCCACGTTTTCTATATTTTTTCCCCCCGACTTAGTGGAATTCCGGACATTTATTCGGCATCCTGCAAATTCGAGGAAGAATTTCATCTCGCGAGCCGTACGGAAATGTGGCCAACTCGGGGCTCCTTGGCTCTCGGAATAAAGGAGCAGCGATCGATTGAGCTTCGCCGATCTTTATTAGAAAATTCTTCCGTCAAAACCGAAACCGACTTACCCGAACTGTCCACTCCGGGAGGTTCCACCTGGGCATTATGCCTCGAGTAGTTTCCAAGTTGCGGGGAAGTTCCATCCCCGAGAAAAATGGCCGAACTTGGGCGGGTTAAAAATGCAAAATCCATTCCTCCAGGTCGAAAAATGTCCCCTGGAAGGATAATTCCCGGCTCGTTGCGGCCCCCGTTGTTTATGCTTTTATTTACAAGGGGCGGTTTTACGTATGGGATCCGCGGTGCGCCACAAAATGGGGCCGATTAATCGGAGATAAATTGGAGGGCGATTGCTAGGACACTGGTTTGTAGGTCCCTCACGAAATGTCGGCCGGAGACCGTTTGTCAAGGAGAAGATGTGGGATCGTATCGTAGTGCGTCCACGTTTCCGGGTTGTTTCACTTTTAAGTGACCCTCTGGTTTTTACAGCCGGGCGATCATGGGTTACTTGGTGGACCAGTACGGTAAAAACGATTCCCTCTACCCGAAAGACCCGAAGAAACGTGCCCTCGTAAACCAGAGGCTCTACTTCGACATGGGCGTCCTTTACCAGTCATTCGCAGACTATTACGTGAGTACTCACCTTCTTCGATCTTGCCGGCATACTTAGCGACCTTATCAGGCCGACACTCGTCCGATACCCCCGGAGATAAAAATTCAAAGCCAACCGATAACGTTATCCCGCAGTACCCTATCATCTTCGGGGGAGCGCCAAAGGACGAGGAGAAGTTCAAGAAAATCGAGAGCGGCTTCGACTTCCTTGACAAAATCCTCAACGGGGAGCATTACCTGGTCGGAAAGAACCTTACGATCGCCGATCTGGCCACTGTGGTCACGGTATCCAATTGTGAGGTGAGTACCTTCCTCGCTCGCGAGTACGTTCCAAGATTCTTAAAGGAACCTCAAGGGAGGAGCACCCCCCTCGAATATTTTTCTTGCTCTGATTTAGAGTACATAAACGACTCGTCGATTTCTTTCCTTTCAGCTGATGGGCTACGACTTCGGGAAATTCAAGAACGTCTCCAAGTGGTTCCAAAAGATCAAGTCGGAGGCGCCGAAGTACGAGGAGACGAATGGCGAAGGTCTGAAGGCCTTCAACGAGCTCAAGGAGAGGCTGGCGAAGAAGTGAACCCGCGATAGCCTAGGATTAGCTTTATCTCATCTCGTCGTTAGATAGTGCCGGACGCAAGTCCGTCCTTGCATCGTAAATGTATCTCTCCGTGAACCTTAAATTAATTCCGATTAGTGATTAAGCTATCTCGCGCAAGACCCGGAGCGGTGTACCAATTACTCCCGAAATAAATCATTATTGCACCGGATTATCGAGGCTGTTGCTTCACCGAGTAGAATGGTCGAAGGGAGTCCCTCGGTCTGCCAGATCCTGGAGCAGATTCGAATGTCAATTACATCCACGAGTTGTCAACTGCGAGAGAACCCACTCGTCACGACCCTGGCCGGCGTCCCACATCCCGGTCTGCAGTTCATTTACAGGAACTCTAATGAATCATAACTCGGTGAACTCTGACAGTTGTACTACATTCTACCATTTTCCGTCCCACATCCGGCGACTCCCTCGACGGCTGTTTCTATCCCGCGGTTTTACACGTTTTATACACGACGTTCTGACCTCTGCCAGGCCGAATGAGCTTTGGCAGATTTTTACGCGGTCGCGGGGTTCCCTTAAAAAAAAATAAAAATACATAAAAAAAAGTCAAATCCACTCCACCACTTGCATGGCCTCGCTTCGGCTTTGAATTCACTTTGTTGCGAATTGAAGTTGACGCATTGCGTACCGCCCTTGCGTCCGTCGTTAATTTTTGGTAATCCTTTCGCGAAACGTTTCGGTAATCCTCGCTTCCACTTGATGCCTCTGCCCGGTTTGCTCGACGTATTAAGAGAGATTAATTTGATCTATCGACGATATGCATAGCCACGACTCGTGTGATTATACACGGGTGCGCTCAAGTGCATCCCGCTATTCCACAATTGTCGTATATTTAGTCGAGCCGGTGCATCCGCGTTATCAGGCTCGGCCGACTGTGATCGGTAGGACTATTATTGCCGGGGCTTGTCAAAGACTATTTTTTATCCCGGATCATCAGGCTCATGAGCGGCGCGATAACTGTCCGAACATTTCGAGAGTCCTACAGCCAATTTCGAATTTCCAATCACTCAACAGGGGTTCTCCGGTGGTGTGAAATTCGACATCGATCGAGCAACGAGGGTGGGAGCGAGGACTACACGTTCGAGCACACGTGTTTCTTTCGAGACGGTCCTCGGGTTTAGTTTATTGACGTAGTTCGTGTTGTATACGCCTGTAAGACCTGCAGGTACACCGCAAAAATATATTTTACAGTGATATTTCATTCGACAAGAAGCGCCTTCCATTTATTTCATTTTTTCCTCGCGAAGAAGAATTTCTTATCCTGGATCTCACCCTGTGTATTTTTTATTATCGGCTAACTTGGTGGATTTTTGTCGCACTTGTATCGTGATTTCAGAGCGGTTTCACTTTTAGAGTGTGGGAAAATCGATTCGCGGTCTTTTGCGTGGAAACAAGGGTTACTACGAAAATAACGCGATATCGATCCGCCCAACTCTGTAGATTGAATTTTAATGTAATTCTTATACCGCAGCCTATATTACTTAATGTAGGGTATGTTAAATGACCCTGACTGTGCCGATGTAAGGCATTCGTACGTGGCCGAAGTGCAATTATCGTATTTTTCGATGAAAACGTGGAAATGGATGAAACTTCCCAGCGCGCCGCGGTCGTCCTGTAAAAGAGTTATATCGTATGCATTACAAATCGATGTGTTTCAATTACGCCAATGAATCGCCAATACGCCGAACGTACATTACTCAACGGGTGATTGAACGTGCAATAATTTATGACGCGGCAAATCAAGGGTACACTGACGAATTTTCACTAAAGGGATTCGATTCCCTAATGATGATAGTGGCCCGATGTTTTAACGGTGAAGCGCGATGAATCGTTTAGCCGTTTAAGAGCTGAAAATTGAGAAAAATAAATTTTTTAATCTAACCGGCAAGGTAAGAAGAAATTATTTTTACAGTGAATCCGCCTTGGTGAACATGGCTCCTGACTTGTATTACATGCCAGCGAGTCCACCGTGTCGTGCTGTCATGTTGACAGCAGAGGCGATCGGCATTCCCTTGAACCTTAAATATATCGATATTTTTTCTGGAGAACACCATAAGCCGGAATTTATAGAGGTTCGTACATGGTTGAATTAAAATCCGTCGAATTAGAATTTCTTTCTTATCGTACATTTTTCTCACCATAGCTGAATCCACAGAAGACGATTCCTCTCCTCGTGGACGCCGAGTACAGATTAACGGAAAGGTCAGAGTGGTGAAGCGTAATTTCCCAGGTTTATTTTCATCTTGCTGGCTGGATAAATAATGCGCGATATAAAGCATACAGATTTAAATCCCATATTGCCGCTTCGCACCGCACACCTGGTTTGCAATATAATTATCATACATTATCTGTTTTAGCCGGGCTATCATGTGCTACCTCGTGGACAAATATGGCAAGAATGCCCGACTCTACCCGAAAAATCCCGATATTCGAGCGCTGATTAATCAGAGATTGCACTTCGACATCGGTACCCTGTACAATAATTTGGCAGCATATTACGTTAGTTTTTACATCCCAGGGGAAAGAATGCAAATTATGCCGCGGTAGAATGGCGGGCGGAATTTAATGAAAATTATTTCCCGAAATCATATCGATATTTTATTCCAGTATCCGGTGATTTTCAAAAAGCAAGCAGAATACGACCAGGATCAGTACGAGAAATTGAAGGACGCTTTTGAAGTGTTGGAGAAATTTTTGGAAGGCCAGGATTATGCGGTGGGTCGGAATTTAACAATCGCCGATCTTGCTTTGGCAGCCTCGGTTTCTACGGCTGTGGTAAGAGCTCTTTCTTTTTTTCCCCCATGAAATAAGAACTTCCTTTTGTATCGAACTATATCGATAATACTGGATCCACGGAAATGGATCCAAGAAATAACAGGAAACGCGATATCTATCACATTTAATGACTTGGAGAGCGGTAGGTAATCTTTATCCCGGAAGGCATCGAGACACTTCTCGGAAGTTTCTGGTTTCAGCGATATTAAGAAATCCGATAAGGCATCGGATTAAAACCGATCGGCCTAGGCTAGAGATCGATCATCTTATCGTCTCCGCTCGTCCCTATCGAAAGAGTTAATTCCTTTAATTTTCTCTGGGTGAGATTCGAATCACTCGTCTCGTAACCTGGCTGATACTCTTCTGCGAGACGTTTCATCTCAGTTTAATTACTATTACTATTTAAGATAGTAGAGGTGTTAAATGAAATTGCATTTCAGGCTCTCGGATTTGACTTGGGAGGGTATAAAAATGTCGACCGGTGGATGGAAAAGGTGAAAAGTTCAGCCCCCGGATATAGAACAGCCAACGGTGAAGGAGTGGAGTTGCTAAAGAAGATGGTGGCTGACATGAGAAACGAATGAAGCCGAGGGAATTAGATTAGACCCCGTACTGTCCATTAGAAATATTGTAGGAGATTAAAGAGCGGCGCTGTATATATTTAAGCTCCGCGAAGCCCGTGTCAAGCCATATTCACTTGCTTGAAAATATTAAAAGCTGAGCAATGATAACGCGAACGAGATGAATTTCACAGTCCCTCGACAGGACGAAACATTTTACCCGGTCTCGTCCTTGCATCGCACCCTTGCTATAATTTAATCAAACGACTTCACGACACCTTTCTTTGCAATTTCATGCGTTTTCCTACATTTTATAAGGTAATTTCATTCCCAGGAAAACATATCGGAACGCGTACAGCCATTATCATTAATAGCGGGGTTACCCATTCGATCGACGTTGTAAACGAGTAATTGCCGTCTTTGCTCCATTGGATTGCTTTCTGGGTATTTATTCACGGAGATAATTCGGAGTCCTGGAAGGGAGGACAGAGAACTCGGTTTTCGTCTCATCTCTAGCGATTGAGGGTCGTTATTAGTCGTTGATGTTCCGAAGCAGAGTGAAGGACGAGGCCGCCGACAACATAACCTGGGAAAAGGAGGATCACCTAGTAGTACCTGGGTTTTTTCTCTCCCGTAAATTCTGTCCCGGTGGTAGATCGGTTAAGGATTAATTGGAAGCGCCGGAATTAGAGCAGGGTTCAATACGAGCTAGGTGTGGGGAGGGTCAAGTTAGAAATCGGGTTTATTTCAAGCGAATGATCCGTACAGGGATGATATTCTGGTGATCGCCGGCAAACTTGGTAATTGATCCTGGCACCGTTCCTCCCCTGTACCCAAGTAATTGTGGATAGATAGTTTCTACAATTCCGATAGTTTCCCTCGACCTCTGGGGACGGCGCCCCTGTCCTATTACCCGACACCCTCCCCTGGGACTCCGGAAAGTCGCCATCTTGTGTCAAGAACGAGCAACGAGACATTATACGAAGTGACCCCTGGACCTCGAGTGTACCGAGTAACCGGCACCATTTATAATCTACAGGTAATCTACAGCGGAAAGGAGCCATTACTTATGGTGTCCTATGACCGATAAATTTCAGGATTACCGATTTGAACGTCTCCAACGACATCGGGCCGAACCTGCCGAGACTGACATAGCAGGGTCCTTGCTCGCACTAGCAGCAGGATCAGTTCTATCCTGAGAGTCCTTCCGTCTTTCTCGTAAGACAGAAGATGCCAGTTGGTGTCATAAGCCGCATCGGCGACCACCAAGCTCTGGACGACAATCTCGTTGATGGACCAAGTTATCATGAAAAGTTCGGAGATCGAGAGGAGAACGAACATGACGTTCATCTTGGTGCGCAGCTGAGTCTCCGCACCCTAGGTAAAACCAGGTCACAGGGACAGTTTTTCATCATCGGGATCAAGATTTGTGGAGGGTACGAGTTTCGGGGTACTTGCCAGGAACAGCTGGAACGCGCTGAAGCATATCAACACAAAGGACCCAATCCCCTGTATGAGGATAATATAGCAGCACATATTCTCCATCTTCTGTATGAATCAGATTAATTGTTCATGCTGTTTTATGTAATTTTCAAATTTGCAGTGAGCCTCGGCAGCGTCCTGGGATGGATTGGATGTTGAGGCGTTGATTAAATTCTTGAAGGGGGACGCGATTAACGCGGTATATATCCCTCGACATGCCTGAAAAAAAGTGCGTTAAATACCCACGACGTCCTTGTCTTGCTTGGACTTGAAGATGGTGCCGTTCATGAATTCGATCATCTCGATAACTTTGCGTCGCGGGGACAGGAAAATAGTAACTTTCCCCAAGGAGAGGACGATCGCGCAGATGCACGATGTAACACCCTGCAAATCCTTCCTGTAATCCTCGAAATGCACCGGATAGTCCCTGGCAAATTTGCGTTGGCGCTTACGTAAACATCCCCGAAAGTGTGGTAAAAATCGATGCTTGTCATAACTCTACCGATGAACATCGTACGGCACGTGGAAAGATAGAGGCAAGTTGATGAAACTTTTCCTCCTATTGTTCGCCCTCGGGAAACCGAGGACTCTTAGAAAAAAATAATAATAGCCGAAAGGACGTCACGCGATCTGCTTGCGACGACATGCGATCGCATTGTGATTACCGGTGTCGTTTTGTCCAGAACCCTGCCTTTTTTTTCTTTTCAATGCCGGTAATAACTGTGATATCACTAATGGTGGGTGTAGTTAGACCCCATATACCGATCCTTGAGCGATAAGACTGCAATGTCGTCGCACAAGACGGCTACATCCCATCGACAATTATTACCTTGCACCTGGATCAATGCCGATTCATATTTGGTACTGCGGGTTCAGGTGAGAGGGTCTTAATTTACGATCGGTATTCCTGCTCGGATCGTTTTTTACGATGAAAACCAAACGAGAGTTCACTCTCCCCGAGTGCATTCCCCTAAATACGAGTTACCAAAGGTCGAATTACCGGGCCGTAATGTACCTATTTAGTTATTTATGCTGGTTAAACGCGAGAGCTCGAGCTAACGCTTCCGTAAACACGTTAATTTCGTTTGCTTCGAATTTGTATTTATTATTGCCAGTTCTTTTTCCGATAGATAATGAATTTCCAACATCGCGTTCATCGTGCTCCCTGTTAATGGTCCGCCGATTTCGATTCGTTCACTTGGCGTAGGACCGTGAAGTACGACGCTGCCGTGCTCAAGATCTGGAAGTCGAAAGTCGAGGTAAGTTAATCTTTGTTATTTAGCCTGTTTGATATCTTCGCCGTTGAAAATTATTCTTACCGATTTGAAGGTCTCCATCGACATGGGGCAGAATTTGCCGACGGTCAGGACGCAGGGCCGACGAGCTCTGCAGACCAAGATGAGCAATTCTTGCCTAAATGCTTTCCCGCTTCCGTCCCAAGGTAGAGAGTACCAACTCGATTTGAGAATCGCTTCAGCCACGGCCGTGCTATTGACAATAATTTCGTCGCAGGACGACGCGAACATGAAGATCTGCAGGATGCTGTTGGTGCAGTACTCGATGCTGAGAATAGTCGCGGACCTGGAGGTCCCCATTCCCTGCAAGCAAGAACGCTTGATTGGAGAGCAATTCGAGTAGCGTGACTCCAACTGAAACTGGATATCTCGAGAAGAGAGAACTTTTCTGGAAAACTACTCGCCAGCATTATTTGAAACCCAGAGAAGCACATCTGCAAGACGGAGCTGAAACTTTGGGTGAGCATGACGAAACTGCACAGACTCTCCATGGTTTTCATGTAGTCAATCAATAACCGATATCGTTCCAGGCAGTTCCTAAGATTGGTACGAGCGTCGTGGGAAGTGATTTGGAAATGGCTTTTCTCCAGGTTCGAGGACCCGTCCGGAAGGTGCAGCGTGCAGGAGGCCTCCAACTTCCGGTGCAAAATTTTGAACTGACCTGCAGCGAAATTGTTCACCGTGTACACGTAGGAAGTGAAGGTGGAGGTGCAGAGGCAGACGCATATCGTCGCCAGTATCTGTCGGAATGGGTAAGATTATTAAACCGTTAAACGGCCTCCCTGTAATGGACGGTTATTTTTAAAGTGCTGATATTCTCACAGCTCGGGGGATATAACATAATTAAGGAGATAAGGTTATCCCGAAGGAAAATGCGTTTTTCTTAAACGGGGCCCGTCAGGATGCGCGCCGGTAAGGAAAAAGATTAATTGTGAAGCTCCCGGATAAAGCGGCCGACCTCGCTGGCCTCGATGATTGATGACATTATGATTCAATTTTTGCTCTATCGGATTAAATTTGGATTAAAATAAATGTATTAACGGATCACCTGCCAGGCGAGGGTCAATTCATAATACGGCGTCTCTTGGAAAGGAAAATTGATCCAGAGCTTGTGGATCAGCAATCTCTCGGACACGTTCTTGCCGACAGACACTGAAACCCAGAGGGGATAAAACGTTTCCTCGTGCCTGGTTAACTCCTATTGATGATTACCGTTTCGAGAGGTAAATGTACGTAGACCCACCAACTATAGGCACGGTAATGTAATGCCAAGTGATCACTTGAGCTATCAAACAGTATATCATGCAGCCGATGAAACTCTTTATGTTGCAACTCTTCAGCACCCTCCTGTCAATGGAAGGGTATTCGGTCTTCCAAAAGAACTTATCCGTGAACTCGTTGAACGCTTGAACCCGAGGTCTGTAGAAGGTTAAAATCAGGAGCTTGATGAGTTCACTTAGCACCGTACTGGCAGCGGGTACGTTGTATGTAAGAGCCTGCAAACGAAATTTCGCTCGCATTTTGGCTACCTTCAAAATAGGTAACCTTCCATTTCGAAGGTGCTTACGATAAGGTCGTTAAGGGAGAAGAAAAAATCCATCCCTTTGGTGAACAGGGCCACGATCATTACCACTATTACATTGATCAAAGCAACGTTAGAAATTAATCGCTCGCGAGGACTCTCCGTGTACCAGAGGCCGTTAAATTTCATCAGGATCTTTATCAGCTTTATCGCGGAAAACTGATCCACGCGAGAAGGCATTTTCGAGACTCATGACAAAAGGGTTCATTGACATTATGGATAACCCCTCTTGCAAGGATGTCAAAACGGTACTGATAATGACGGCTAATCACAGGTGCGACAGGGGACATACGTTGACCGGTCGTTCTTGGTTCTTTGATCTTCTTCGCCTCCGCTTTTATAAATGCACCTTGCAAATTATACAAGTCTACCCTCGCGCGTATGCAACTCTTACCGTGTCATTACAGGTACCGAAAGAGAATTCCCATATTTTTCTGCGGAACTTGCGCAGGCGTCCTTTATCATAAGATATCCAGGTGTGAAATCCACCTGATAAGGAATCTACGAGTCCCCCCGGTACCGTTAAGACGTCCAATATATCGCGTCCCCCTTTTTACCTAAAATCCGTACGTCTGCCTATTTTCCAAGGACACCTGTTGAAACTCTGAATGGATTTTTTCCTGGTTTAATTTCTGCCGCCAAAGTGGTAACGAATGCATCCCGGAGCTGTCCTAAAGGTAAGTGCCTCTTTTTAAAATTTTGTAGGATCTTTTCAATGGGATTTTTCGTAATATTTCCACGTTAAAATCGTCTGCCTCCAAAGGCACGAGTACTGTGGTGGGGACACGCTAAATGATTTTCAAAGTTCAATCGAAATTCCTCCGTATTATTTTTGTATCAAAAATGGCAGTCCGAGGAGCGACGTTAAGAGAGGGCTGGAGGCTCTAAAGACTTCCAAGGGAGACTTCCGTTCCCTAGAGATCTCTTTCCCGGGGATTCGTTTTCTCGTGACCCCGTACCAACCTGCCGTGGAGGTTGTATTTTCAGAGAAAATAATTGCGGTAAATAGTGTTTCCACCGAACTGTCGGGGCGCGCCTCGCTGGATATCCTACCTGTCCAAAGTAAATCGTATGAGCGCCGTGTTGTTGTTCCCCGAAGAAAGTTATGAAATGGGGAACGTCTCTCCTCGATACAGGCAATTTTAACGTCCCTGCGAACATCTCCTCGGAAATGCGTCATGCGTGCAGCGAGACGTACGCTTCGCTCTGACGTAATATCGTGAAGTACGAGAGCGATGTGCTCAGGATCTGAAATAAGTATCTCTAGTCATCACCTGTAATTGCCTCGAGAGTTTCGTGACTCCACATGCGGAAAAGTATTTTCTGAAAAAGTACATTAAATATTACTACCGCGTCTTTTTCATGACCGGAGTTATTATGGACACTTGGGCGCCGGGCCGCTGTACATAACGTATGGGACATGAAATCGCGCAGTGTTGCCCTGAAGTGCGCTGTTAAATTGTCGGTTTGCAATACACTCAGGTTGAATATTACCTTTGTAAAGGTTTCGAGAGACACCGAAAAGAACCCTGCTCCAGTCAGGCTGCAGGAGCGACGAGCTCTTATGATGATGATTTGTAAATATGTCGCAAGTTTCTTGTCGATCACGGAAGAGTCGTGCCATTTCACGTTGTAAGCCGCATCGGCTACGTGCAGACTTTCCTGAATAATTTCGTCGCAGGTTAGGGCGAACGAGAACAGCTGACAAAAAGTTCCAATTATGTGAACCGTGAACGTCACTCTTCTGGTCGCTGAGTTTTGGTCCTTTGGAAGTAACATTATGGTCTCGACTCGTAAATCTTCATCGCAGATAATCTTTCCGACATCTTCTGACATTTTTTCAGGCACTTACCGCCACTACTTGGAATAACACGAGACACACGTTGATGCTGGAGAGTAGTACGTGAATTAGTATTACATTTTGGAAGATGGCTTTCACCTCTTCAACGTATCTGATCATATTTTGGTGCAGTCTGATGCACTCCTTCAGTTTGCTGAATTTATTACCGCGGACGAATGGTACGAAAGATTTTCTATTATCATCGATCATTGATTTCGAGTCGGTAATCTCGTCCACGTCGCACACGGTTTCCAATCTGCGCTGCAAAATTCGAAACTGGCCCGTGGCGAAGATGTTCAACAAGCACAGGAAATTGTCGAAGCAGAAGTAACAGATTGCGACGACGTATGTATTTAAAACCTGCGAACGGAAGAACGTGTTTCTTGAGACAATGCCCGAGGACAAATAATTATTAAGACGATACTCTTGTCACCTCCAAGGCGAAGAGCATCTCGTAATACGGAGTAATGGTCGTAGGCATGTCAAACCAGATGTCGTAAGGCAGCACTCGTTCTGTCCCGTTTTCCTTCATGCTCTCTGAATAATTATGTTGCAGATTTCATAGCCAATTACTTACGAGTACTTCGAACTTACCGAAGGCGGGCCGTGTCACGAAGCCGAGGAACGTCACGTGGTCGAAAAACACGAAAGTACACATCAGAAGGATTCCTTTCCTGTCGCACTTCTTCAAAATGGAGTCTTCTTGCTCGTCGCAATCCATTTGCCATATGTTACGTTCCGTGTACTGGATAAGATTAATGATGGCTCCCCGTTGTATTGTCAGCATCACCAGTTTTGACATAACCATGATTACTACCACGAGGTTGGAGGTAATGTAAATAGCATCCTAGAAAATGTTAAAGGCGACCGCAATTATATGGAACAATTATTTCTGCCCCATTTAGGAGTCATACTTACGTAGAAGTTTCCACGAGAATAGTACAGGTCCATTCCTTCGATAACAATTGAGAGGAATAGTGCAATGACCATCACGGAAAATGTGCAGTTCATGCCGAATCGTTCCCTCGGACTCTTAGCCATCCAAAAACCGGCGATTTGCATGAAAAATTGGTTCATGCGCACCGAAATGAGTACTCTTCGTCGCGGAGCCATCTTGACGTTTGCTGACATCGTCGCGGTGCACCACACTCTTGGATATGCGACAATTACGCTAATGGTGGAAAATGGCGTGTACGGCCCATCAAACTTGACGCCCCTTTGATGTGCCGCTTCGTTCTTTTGCCTCGCATAGTCAGAAATGGCACCTGCGTAGATTCCTCTTTTGTTCGGGGACTTTAGTCGCAGCGGAGGAAATGTAAAGTGAGAAGCGTTATCCGATTTTTCAAATCATTCGTCTCTATCAAATGGCCCCGGCTACCGAGAACGGTGTAACGCGAATTCAATGTTCAATGATTTAACGATATATCGTATATTTATTAAGGTATTAAATACCCTACCTGGCGGAGGAGATTAAAGAAACAAGTGCATTCAATCTGTAAATTAATGAAGAACTTGGGATTCGAGGTCGTTATGTCGGCTCCTTCATTTTATTCCTAGTCGGGTTAGGAAGAAGCGTAACCTCGGGTTTTTACAAATCGGGTGTAAATGGACGGGTCAAGTACTTCATGGAAACTCACGACAGTCCGTTCATTCTTCATGGTTCACTTGAAGGTGCTGGCTTTAATATAAGAAACATCTTGAACCTGGGATCTCCTTGAAAAGGTAGCCGAGACATTCTTGTTTCCCTCTTACTCTACTTCCTCGCTTACTTGTCGCAATAAAGTGAAGTAAGACATCGCCGTGCTCAGTATCTGCAAATGAAGGTAAATTGCATGCTCGCTATAAGCAGGACTATTTTCCTGCAATGAATAAACTTTACACCCTCCTGGTTATATTTGCACGTACATCCCCGGAGTTACGTTCGCCCTAACTTTTTTTTCCGCGGGAAATTCCCAGGCATCTCCCCCCGTAGAAATTCAATTAGACCGCGCAAGAATAAGGGGTGAAATTTTACTACCTTGAATTAGTTATTTTTTTTTTTTCTTCCTAGACATTCAGGAAAAGTGGAATTAATGATTTCCGATTAACGATGCCGAACCTTTGTGAGCGTTTGCAGATTCATCGGGCAGAATTTCCCAGCAGTCAAGACGCAGGGTCGATGTCCTCGCATGATCATCATCATCACACCTCTCCAGAGAAATTTCCCAGCATCGTCGTGCAAAAGGAGGTACCATCTCATCTGATACGCGGATTCCGCGATTTTGGAACTTTGCTCCATGACATCGTGACAGGCCCACGTGTAAATAAATAACTGGGAGATATTGCCGATGATGTGAGTGACGAAAACGAACTTATTAACTAGAGTCTGCGACGCCTGCAATGATCAGGATTATTTTTTGCAGATCCTTCAAGAAGATTTCTATGTCGCAGCGACAATTAACGTACCAAAAACTGAAACAAAGAGAAGCAGATTAATAAGCTGGACATGATCAGCTGACTCAGAAGCGGTTTTGTGAACGCATGCTCCAGATTTAACGTGTAAAAAATCAGAATCCTGTGCTGATCAGCGCATTGTCGAAACTCATTGTACAGCAGTTGGAGACTTTCAGGTTCCATCGGTTTCTTGGATTCCAATTTCATGAGGTAAGTGTCAGCCACTTTTCTAATTCGATGCGCCAGTATTTTGTACTGACCAGCGGCATGGATGTTGAACGTACAGAGGAAAATGTCGAAGCAAAATGTACAAATTGTCGTGTATAACGCCGCCATGGCCTGACAAGTGAACAAACGTATCCTCTTACCGAAAGGAGAGGTGCAAGGAATAACTTGATTATGAATACTTACCTCGATTATAAACGTTATTTCGTAGTAGGGTGTGGTTGATAAAGGCAAGTCGAACCAGACCTTAAAGGGAAGGACCCTGTCGGTTTCGTTCTTCCCACGATTCTCTGATAACAGAAATTTAATGTTGCAATCCCCGATTAGGGAAGAATCTTAAGATGATTCTCTATAAGATGAATTTGAATAATAGCCTTACCGACAATCGGAGAAATTAAATGTCCTGCACAAGCCATCTGTACTATGACTGTGAAAAAGTACGTGAGCAACATTCCCTTTCTGTCGCACTCGAGCAAAATCGACTTTCCGAATTCGTCGTAATCGACCTGCCAAAAGTTCTTCTCGGCGAACGATATGATCCTCATCATCGTTCTCCGATGATATATGAAATTCGAAATTTTCAGAAAGATCAATACTATGAGAAGGGTGATGCACATGTTCAAGGTGACTGCCTGCAGCACACAACTTTTTACTCATATCACGCTTTATTAATAACACCACAGGAATATTCTGCACGGTCCCAGAAGTTCTGCGAGTACTTTTCGACGCGGCAGAAATGCAAAGAGAAATTAATATTCAAGATTAAAGTCTCCCTCGTGGAGAAATAGCTCCAATCGACGTCGATTTTTTCGGCTGATCGGGGGCCATTATTTTCACGTCTGCACCCGGTAATGCACCTCCCTGTGTTTTCAGGAAAAACTTTGCGCAAACGCTAATGCAACGGCACGTGGGCGCAGTCTCAGGGACGGGAAAATTGGGGAAAAACGATGGACTCGCGGGGGCCGAAAGGAAATTTGGAAAGTAAATATTTCCCACCACCGAAAGCCCGACTTTTTCACGCACTTTGTAACGAATTCAGCCGTGGCTTCTTCTAAGCAACGCGCATCATCCGGGATTTTCCCAGCCATCGTGAAAGCACTTTCTGAATTACGAATGTTCCGTGCTCGGTCGAAAAACGTTTTTCCCTTCGGCGCCGGAAAACCTGTGCTTGAATTCGCGATATCGAACAGAGGAGGGAGCAAGGGAGATAGTCGCAGTCCTTGCTACGTCGAGCATCGCCGAGCTAGCCAGAAAATTACGAGGGAAATTCACCGATTTTTGCGCCCCTCGTGTACCGACATCGCCGGCCGAATTCTGGGAGCTCTCCGCTCCGAAATCACGGTTATGCGGAAAAATGTCGGAGTAATAATAAAAGCCCGCTTTTCCGCCAGCGACCTCAAGAGCGAACTCTCGAGGTACATAAATCGTGGCCGGGTAACTTTCCACATCCTGGAAAGCTCATCGGTAGCCTTAAACTTTTTACCCGGACGTTAGAAAAAATTCACCCGATGTATCGAAGACGTTTTCAGGAGACAGAGAGAGGGAGAATAAATGGATTTCCCGGGGAACTGGTCGGTCATGGTCCGGCCACCATCGCCGTTCGGCGATCATTTCGCCATCATCTCTGCCGGTCCAATTTCGGCTACCACGCCGGTGGGGGGCTAATGTGGACAAAACTTGACCTCCGATGGAGGTACGTGTTCCTGGAGCAAAAAGTTCACCGGACGCCGATGGCCCGTTTTGCGCGAAAGGTAACGAGGCAATGCCCGGCAATGACGTCCATTTATTCCCGGCAAAAAGGAACCACCTATCTCAGATATGAGCTCCTATATATTCTCTCGGAAAGCACGAAAAAGGATTTCCACCCTTCGGAACCGGTTGCCTTTGTTTTTATACAATATAAACAGTGAGACAATATGATATTAATAAACGGACAAAAACTTTGATCGGAGTGCGCCCCTGGTCCTCGCGTGGAAGGTGCTAAATGGGGCTAGGAAATTAATCCCAGGTTAATCTACTTACGTAGAGATCGTTCCAAGTGTGGTAGAGGTCCGATGTCTGGATGCCGCATGCGACAAGAATTTGAAAAAGTGCAAAAGCCAGGGCCAGATTCATCAGCGTCCTCTCTCGGTCGCTTTTCGGGTGCCAGAGGCCGATCAGTCGCATGTAAAATCGCGTAAGAGTGACCGAACGATATTCCTCGTAATCCGGCATCTTCCCCTGGATCGTCTTCGCCCGATTGCGAGGGTCTCTGTTCTCGAGCCAGCTATTCGATCGGCTATTACGGGGGCAGAAATTGGCGCACTTATCGAGGAATATCGGGGACTGGTTCTTCGGGGTAGGAAGTAGTGTCGCAATCATAGTTGACGGCGCGCGATCAATCCGGGCTCCATTATCCGGCCTTTTTTCCGGGAAATTCTCCTGATTTTCCCGCATTCCCAGTGTTAACGCCCAAGGCACGTCGAGGCTAAAGCGGGGGAATAAATTCATGTTTTCGTCCGTGGGAATTTTAATTCCTGCGAGTTTAATATGCTCGCCAGGGGGGGATATGCGAAATTTCCCCGAAACCCCTGGCCCGGCCGACGATATCGCGGGATCCGGGGAATTGATTTTTATCCCCCAAGTTAGGATTTTTTATAATGATACCCCTGGAATGAGTTTCGAAATTATATTTGCCCCCGTGCGGAATAAACGACCGCGGACGAATTGAATGATTTAATCTTCCCGAGAGCCGCGCGCTTGCGTTTCGTTTATCCTTCCTTCGCGATATTAAAATGCGTCCTCCGACTTTTTCCGGAAATATTTCAGAGTCGCTTCATCTCGGACATTTTTTTCTCTCTCCCCTGATTGCCTTCTCTTTGGTATATCTCTCTATAAATTGCAAATTTGCAATCACAGCGCAACGCTCCGGGCGACTGACCCTGTCACTTTGATATAAGACCTGCGATATTAGCAACTCGATGGGCCACTTCCGATTTTTTTCGCTAATTTCGATTCCGTCGATAAGAATAAAGCCGAATGGATCTTCTAACACTTCTCCGCCTCGAAATTAAGGAATCGTCTCGAAAAAGGAAATTTTTCGCGAGAGGATCCTACCGACCAGTGCAACGGCATTGACCACCGATGATACATCGATGTCGGTATTATCTAAGGGATTTGATAAGAGAATTGCTCCTATCGCACGTCGAATAGAATTCTCGGAGGTCGGCAACGAGGAATCCTGTACGTACCGCCTCGGTAAAGCAGAGTGCTCGCTCTTATCTGTACTCTGGCGGTCTCTGTACAAATTGCCTTGCAGAAAATGACAGGATCATTTCGACGACAAATGATAAAGCATGAGAGCCGTCGCATTCCTACTTAAACGTGAGAATTTTTAAACTAGACCATAAAAGGTAAAATTATTTTCACAATCCGAGACCAGTGAAATATGCAATAGAGGTGCTTTATTATTTTTTTAAGAAATTACGTATAATTTCTATATCATTAGCTTTCCCAGTGAGCTCATTATGCGCACTGGTTGTGCCGCAATCTCTTTCGATAACCTATGTGGGAATGGAAACGATAATTCCTAGATACAAATGCCGTAAGTAGATCACCCAAGACCGCAACTTCGTAAGGCATTTCTATTCTTGTTCTTCTCGTGTTACTCTCGGTATGCTCAATAATTGAAACTATTTAATAGTTTGTTGCTTAATCTTACCTCGACCGCTCCAAGTTACGAGTTACTAATCCTCCTCTTGTCGTGTGGTAACGTTTCTCGTAACAATTCCTCGCATGACGTACGCACATTTTATTTACCAAATGAAACTTTCCATTTCAGGTGACTTTTCCTGGAAATATCTCAGAGTCGCTTGATCTCGGCAATTTTTTTTTCCTCTCTCCCCTGATTGCCTTCTCTTTGGTATATCTCTCTATACGTTGTAAATTTACAATTACAGCGGATCCTTCTGGGCGACTGACCCTGTTACTTTGATATAAGACCTGCGATATTAGTAACTCGATGGGCCACTTGCGATTGCGTCGATAAGAATGCAGCTGCCGTATCACAAATGGATCTTCTGCCATATTCGCATCTCCAAATAAAGGTATCCTTCCGAAAAAGTGCCAATTTTCGCGAGAGCATACTACCGACCAGTGCAGCAGCATTGACCGCCGATGGTACGTCGATATCGGTATTATCTAAGGCATTTGATAAGAGAATTGCTCCTATTGAACCTCGGTTGTCATTCTCGGAGGTCGGTAATAAGGAATCCGATACATACTGCTTCGGTAAAGCAGAGTGCACGCTCTCATCTGTACTCTGGCGGTCTCTGTGTAATTTGGCTTGCAGAAAATGGCAGGATCATTTCGATGACAAATGATGAAGCATGAGAGCCGTCGCATTCCTACTTAAACGTGAGAATTTTTAAACTAGACCNATTAGTACTCGATGGGCCACTTGCGATTGCGTCGATAAGATTGCAGCTGCCGTTATCACAAATGGATCTTCTGCCATATTCGCATCTCCAAATAATGGAATCCTTGCGAAAAAGTGCCAATTTTCGCGAGAGCATACTGCCGACCAATGCAGCAGTATTGGCCACTGATGGTACGTCGATATCGGTATTATCTAAGGCATTTGATAAGAGAATTGCTCCTATTGAACCTCGGTTGTCATTCTCGGAGGCCGGTAATACGGAATCCGATACATACTGCCTCGGTAAAGCAGAGTGCACGCTCTCATCTGTACTCTAGCGGTCTCTGTATAATTTGCCTTGCAAAAAATGACAGGATCATTTCGACGACAAATGAAGCATGAGAGCCGTCGCATTCCTACTTAAACGTGAGAATTTTTAAACATGACCATAAAATCTAAAATTATTCTCACGAAATGATATTTACGATCAACATGAAAAAAATCAAGTTTGCTCGTTGACATTTTTCAATTGGAATATATATATTTGTAGTTTGCAGCCGAAAATAATTTGTGCATATCCGATCAATTGGAGTACTTTTCTGAGTTCGTTATCGTGTGTTATTTAACGTTTACATTGGAATCGATGTTTCTGTGATTACTTTCTTGGTATTTCGTGTGTCGCGTGTTGTTGCAGGGGCAAAGAGATAAACTGCGGAATTTTTTCTAAGGTTGATTCTGGTTTCCAAATTGAAAGTATACCTTCCGATAGACATTGCATGCTTTACCCGGATGGCGTATCACGGAATGGAGCAAATCAATACCGAGGGCGTTGACTGGATAGAGATGCAATATATGAACTTGAACTGCAGGTTGCACCGTGGCCGAAAATTACATTTCTCCAAAGTGTAATCAATATCCGTAAAAATACGGGAGTTTGAAGGTACGCAGGAAAATACTGAAATTAATGTGCCTGCTTCCTTGGTTGGCCATTTCCTCGACAAGTACTAAGGCGCGGGTACCTCTTCCTCTAAATGCCGCAGCAAAGCAAAGTACGATCCTGCCGTGCTCATTACCTTGAGAAAGTACGGAAAGGTACGTTTGCAAGTTGTGGAAAAAATGGAAAATTTGCGTGACCGCTGTATTTAAGATCTGTACCTTGGTAAACGTCTGCAGACTCACGGCGACGAAACCCCCCGCAGAGAGATAGCAACATTTTTGGGATCTTATCATGATTATCTGGACATTTTTCCTTACGAATTTCCCGAAAGAATCGTTTGGGACCAGGTACCAGTTTGACCGGTAAATTGCATCGCTGACGTTGCTGCTTTCAGTCATTAAGTCATTGCACGATATCGTAATCAGCAGCAGTTGAGTGCAATCACCCATCAGGTGAGCAGCGTATAAGCAGGTTTTCACGATCGTGGCAATTCCCTTTCAAAGGTAAAGAGCTTTATACCGAGCTAGGCTTATAATAGAGATTTCTGGACCAAAATTTGACATTTTCTTACCGACATCACTGCATACCCTGTGACGCATATCAGCAAACTCGACATCAACATTTGTCCGAGGATCACCATAGAAAATACGTTCTCCATTTTCTCGACGATCCAGATGAGTTCGTTCTGCTTGTGAATACAGTCTATTAATTCTTGGCACTGTAAATACCTCTTGTCAGGGTTCTCTTCGGGTTGGAATACCACTTCCACCCTGTGTTGCAGAATTTTAAACTCAGTCACGATGAATATGTTTAACACCGTCAGGGTGACATCGAAGATGAAGTAGCTGATGCCCAAATAGAGAAGACCCACGGTCTGTGAATCGGAAATTTGACATTAGACTACTTCCCTGGAAGAAAGGGAGAAGAGAAAGTAACGGCGGCGGCTATGGTTATGTATCTACGTGAAGGCATACTTCCATAACAAAAAAGATCTCGAACACCGGGGTCTCGCAAGCGTCAACATCTCCTGGCATCATATAGTTCACGTCGAACAATGGAACTCTGTCGGACACATTTCTTCCAGCGTTTTCTATGAACAATTTCCCCCTTAGAAAATGAATTTCGGGCCAAGATATAATGCGAAACGCACCATGAATCTGTGCCAGGAAATATGCGCCGGTGGTCATTTGGTCGAAAAAAATGAAAATGCAAATCATGAGTACTCCCCTCTTGTCCGCGATCTTCAGCATTTGCNAAAATTAATTGCGGGCCAAGATTTCATACGAAACGAACCATAAATCGGTGTCAGGAAATAAGAGGCGATGGTCATTTGGTCGAAAAAAATGAAAATGCACACCATGAGTACTCCCTTCTTGTCCGCGATCTTCAGCATTTGCGTGTCCCACTCGCTTCTTTCCACGTATAAAAATTTTTCTCTGACAAAGTTAATGACGTATGTAAACTGTGAGCGCTTTATCAGATATACCATGTATTTGACACTCAGCAGGACCACCGTTGCCATATTGCAAAGCTGGTATAAAAATTCCTATGGCAAGAAGAAAGTACCAAATGAAATGGAAGAATTCGATTTATTTACGGTTTCATTACTTACGCCGAAAATGAAAGTGTCCGCGACAGAGCCGTAAAGAAGCTCGGAAGCGATTATGATTCCCACAAGCACACAGTACATGGAACATGCCAAAGCAACCTTGAAAATGAGCCGATGCCTCTTACTCCGAGGAACCCATAGTCCCATTGATCCCAGAAAAAGTGATATTAAGTCCATGGAGAAATACGTATTTCCTCTTGCAACGCTCATGATGACTTTCCGGAAACCACTGAGGCGGTTTGCGGCTCTTTACATCGCGTAGCTATTATATTAATGACTTGTAATCCTAGGTGGAGCGTGTTACTTTTGACAGCCCTTTGATTACGCCGCCTCGTGCACGCCAGCCATGAAACGGTGATAAGTGATAATGCGATCGAATTATTTAAAATTATTATTCCTTCCACGTTCTCACGGGAAGAGTAGGCTCGCGGGAAGAGTAGGAATACCTTTCTTCGAGTACTTCGTAACAGGCCACGAGATCGGTAGCGTCGATCAAAGTTATATCATCGTACTGATATTCTTATCAGGGGGTGTTCAATGAAACCGAGACCAGTGAAATATGCAATAGAGGTGTTTTATTATTTTTTTTGAGAAAATACGTATAATTTCTATGTCATTAGCTTTCCCAGTGATCTCACTTTGCGCACTGGTTGCGCCGCAATCTCGTTCGATAACTTATGTGGTAATGGAAACGATAATTCCTAGATACAAATGCCGTAAGTAGATCGCCCAGGACCGCAAGTTCGTAACGCACGTCTATTCTTATTCTTCTCGTGTTACTCTCGGTACTCACAATAATTGTAACTATTTAATAGTTTGTGGCATTACGGCTTAACCTTACCTCGTTCGCTCTAAGTTACGAGTAATGCTGGATAAATAAAGTAGTTTGACATCGTACTGATGCAACGGTACATACATATTTTAGTAGGGTCACCGATGTTAGTACATCTTCGCCTGCAAGTGTTTCCTTACCTATTATGTTTCTATTATTTCATTGTTATTCGGATAACAGTGTCTATCCATATAACGTGTACGCGTGAACTGAAAATCTAAGTGAAACTTAACGCACAGTTTTATTTTTATATATGCTAGGTACGATATATGTATGTATACAGACATAGAAATTTCCCCGGATTCCATTTTATTCACCGTAGCTCTCTTCGTATCAAATGTTATACCTCGTACGTTACTCTACTATCAGCTGCTGCTCTCCAGCCTTATAATATTATTTCCTCCTCTTGTCGAGCGAGCCCCTCTCGGATATCGTTTCTCGTAACAATTCCTCGCACGACGTACGTACATTTTATTTACCAAATAAAATTTCCCATTTCAGGTCGGCAGCGGCAATCGCGAGTCGTACATTCCTGGCGGATTGCATCTTAGAAAACCGTAAAATTTCTGTTAATCCCGTCGATACCATGGCGCAGCTCGAACGCATTTTCGACGACCATTTTGGATTGTTAAGCAAGCCGGTAAAAGGAAACATTCGGAGCCTTAAACATTGGCGCACCATTCAGGTAAGCACTCTTTTCAGTATTTATCAGTGGCTCTTGGGTAATCGATATTTATCAATACATGTATAAGTGTGATTAGTGATATCTTATAGGACAGCGTATAGGTGCTTAGAACAATTTTGTGATCCTAGGAGATTTTCATACATGTTTTTTCCATTATCTCGGAGCGAAATTCAAAGAGCTATTCTATCTGCCAGGCGTTGAGCAAGGAGAAAGTAAGAAATTTGTTATCGTGCAAACCGGAGAAGCTTACATCGTTGGTTATACATTTTTATAAAAGAATCGCAAACCTGCATGTAACCGAATCTCGTTGAAAAGAATACAGTCTAATATGTTTATATCACACTCTTGGAAACGAGGGCATACGCCTCTGAGAATGCGGAACCGATCCGCAAGTACTGGACATCGTATGACTCGTTCCTTAATTACGCTCACTTTCCTCCTATTATTAAATCTCTCGAAGACGCTCGACTGATTCCTCGTCCTAATTTATCTTAAACAATAAAAAAACCCGTGATTAGGTATACGATTAAAAAATATAGTTGTATAATCCTTTGACCGTGGTACACTGCTACCAAACAGTATTCTACACTGACAATGAGTAAGGCCAGAGTTTCGTTTTCCTGTGGGTTACTTTTATGTTAGAGCTGTTTTTCCGACACAATTTATGACAAGACGCGTCTCAACAAATGAAAGGTCGAGTTATACATGTTTGTCGAGGTATGCTCTCTTGCGTGTAACTTTTTACCGAGACAGCGCAGGGTATTTACATGTACTTCCTGCACTTAAGAAAGTTACAGCTCAAGGGTCGATTACAAGAATTGTTCGGGATAACACATTAACTTTCGTGTAGTGTCACAATAACCGGTTACATTCACTAAGATAAGTGCTACCTTACGATTGGTGCCATAACAACATATACAACACATGCAGTTACTCGTCGCTCTGTAAACGTCGATTTGCCCCGAATTAGTCGACCAGATATCGGATTTTTTTAGTGCAAATTAGGGGAATAAGGTCGCATACAAAAACCGCCTCGGCGTTCCTTTTCATAAATACAAAGCCATCTGCGTCCTAAAAAGTACGAGACCGTCGTACCTCGTAATTATAATTTATATTACGAATAATTTTTGCTCGCAAGACTTGCATAGATATGGTAGGTGGTTCTCGCGTGAAATGCACATCTTTCGCACTCGGCGTAATTGTCGAGCAGCTAACCGGGATTTGCTTAATTTTCTTTTCGTCGCGTACTAATGGCGCCTAGAGTCTAATTATTGCACGAAATTCTAACTACTTAAGCATATGTGCGGTTAGATCGGTTGCGCAACTACGGACGTACAAAAATGTCTTTTATTTCGGAGCGACTCGCCTAGTTTTTCTCGCCGCAGCGAAAAACAATGTTAAGTGTACGCGATAACAGCCGCAATCGGTATCGAAAAGTAACTTACGGCCGACTACGCGAAAGCTCGATAGGTAGGGTACGAGAACGTAAATTAACGTCATTTATCATTACGGGACAGTTAGTCGTTGAGACGCTGCTATACACGTGGGCATATTTATTCGATTACAATTATTCGCCTCGGTAACAAGCTTCGCACTTGCCTCAGACTTGACTATGTACAATTAATTAGTTCAACGAGTTGCCTTCCCGTTTCTCTTTGGTGTTCCTATCACGATAATTATACGTAATAAAAATATTTCTGTACCTATACTGTAACTTCCTCTACGTCGTTCAATCTTTCTCGTATAAAAGCTTTACGAAAATAATTACTTTATCGTAAAATGTCAGACCCTTCCGTCGTACGCACGATATGCCGCGTGCATCGTGTCAATTGCAATTCTGAAAAGCTCCGTTCACGGCGGTGAAGCTAAAATCGGAAAACGCACAAACAGATGGGTGCTCGAGTAGCGGGAAATGTTTATATCTCTCGAGAAACTCTCGTAGCAATTTCCGGCGCGATGTCAAAATTTTAGAGATTAATTCCTCGCGTCGTTCTCAAAATCGAAAACGGTACACCTCCAATGCTCTCACTTGGTGCGGTTTGCGATAACGATACGTTATTTCCTGTCAATTTTTTTTTTTTCAGGGAGAAAATTCTGCAGCACAATTATTGGCGAGATGCAGCGATGCCGGTGGGTGCTTCGTCGTTAAAAAGCGTCAATTCGTCATAAGACTGTCAAAGACCCTCTTCGGGGCGATTACGTGAGGTATTTTGTGCTATTCCGGAAACACAGCTTTCCCCGTTTAGACTATACTTAGGCGACTTCATAAAACGAAGTACTCGGACATGGGTAAACTTACGTAAACTAGCTTAAAGTAAGACGAGAGAAGCTTACGTTTCGAGTTCTCGCTAATCCTGAAAGAGGAACGGAAAGTCTCCTAAAGCTCCGAAAAGGACGTGAGGTAGACGAGCGCCGATTACTAGATTTTCATGCCGTTAAACTTACTTTATGAAGAATGTATAAAGTGGGTGTAAAGGTGGGTAGAAAAAAGTACATCCTCTGGGAGGTAAGGCCGATCAATTCAGACGCACCTTAGAGTACCCATCCATCGTTAAACTCGGTTCGGAAAATTCTCTCTGATATCGCGAGGATAACTAATAAGGAGATGAGGGTAACATAGAGATCTGAATAAGATGGGTTCGGATAGCTTTCGTTAAATTATTTCTATGGATTACTCGATAAGCGATCGATCAAAGAAATTCTCTTCAATTCCTTGGACGGTATTTATTCCTTCGTGTTCGTCTTCCTCGCGCGCACTTCCCAGCGGTGGGCAAAATCAATAAATTTATAATTAACACACAAGAGAAGGTGATGAAATTATTATTCGGCTCCATCCTGCCGGAATTCTAAGGTGTACGTCTGAGTTAATCGGTAAGGCATCGAGGGTTCGATAAATAAATGTCAAAGCAAACGCATAGGGTAGCGACGTACAAGTTTTGGAATTAAATTCGATGACTCGAGGGATTTCGCGCGTTAATAAAAAATTGGGATTAGGTTATTCATCGGTAAGATACAGGATCTTCCGTACAACTTAAAATAAGCGACACCGAAAATCATAGCATATAACAATTAGCTTATGAATTTATTGTCTCGAACTATGTCGAACCTATCGCAAGGAAAATGAGCTGCGACGCGCGATCTACGGAAAGTTTATAAAATTGAAAAAAATATTTAAGGGGCAGTATCGTCGGAATGGAAACAATGGCGAACCCTTAGTTGACTGAGAAATCGATTAACCGAGCCTTAGTGATACGCACTCTCGAATCGAACTTCATAAAGCACACTCGTTACCAGTAATCAGCATCGCTATCGGCAATCATGACTAAACATAGCAAGAATTGTCCCTTCAAAGTAAACGTTAGATGTACCTTAACATATCTCCGCCAGCGTCCAACGTGGACCCACGTCTATTGAAATACCAGTTAAACATTACTTCACAACATATGTATATCACCAAGAAACGTCAAGAGACGTTCTGAACCCTTACGAATGCTATCGTGCTTACCCCTTAGGAATTCATTCACGCATTTTCTCTCGTCTCGCACTCACACCGAATACCGCAAGCTCTCCTTCCTCTTTCATAAACCAGCCTTCTATTTCCAGAACGGAGAAGTCGAGAGAAAGCCGGTCCAGCAAAACCAACATTTCGGCTGCGATCATGGACCCCAAAAGTGGTTCCACCACCCGCTTTCCCGGATCCTCCCGACTCCACGCCCCCGCTTTCTTGCTCCCCGAGGGTGTCGCTAAAAGGACCGCAAACAGATTTGCCAATATACAGAAAGCACGGATCCCCGCTAACACAACAATTACGGGTCTCAGGACTCGCCTCGTGCCACTTGCAACGTGGCTGAGATTCCTACAAATGGCACGACCCGAGTGCCCGGATCAGCTGACATCGATAACACCGTATCAGCGAGCGATGCGATCTTTACATCGGCAAATGACGGCAACGAGCCGGTCGGCGGAAAAATCCCAACAGTTCGTCCAGCTCGACCAAGTCGCAGGAAAGTCGTGGGAACGCTCGACAATTTCATTCTTGGTCGTCAAGGTGTAGAGTCCGCACGTCGGATCTGTCCGGACCCGATCAGCAAGAAGACTCGAGACGTCATCCAGCATCCCGGCAGTCTTGAGACCTTCCGGTGTCGCGTCGCCAGTCCGAGTAACAAGCGTTGCGATCACGAGTGACCCATAATCTCGGACCAGCTGGCAAACGGCTCCGAGCCCGTCTGGGCAGCCAACCTCGACTTCGACTTCGAGTCCGCGGACTCCAATCGAGGCGTTGAGGCCTTTCGAGAGTTGATACCAATCCAGCCTTTGAGACCATTCGCGGGAGCCGCTTAAACGCCGGTGTGGTTGAATATGTAGGAGACGTTGCTGTCTTGGTGGACCGGAGGTCCATGGCACGCCCTTCTCGTGGAGGAGTTGTTGTTCACGTAATAGGAGGACTTCCTCATGCTGGTGGAGGAGGACATGATGGCGACGGTCTCGTAGTAGCGGAGTTTCCCGCAGCAGCGGCCGCTTTTTAGGATGGCCATGAAGCCGCGGCGGTACTTCTTGTTGAAGAAGGCGTAGAGGATGGGGTTGATGCAGGAATTGCTGGAGCCGAGCCACTGGGCGATCGGAGTAGCGATCGGCAACAACTCGTCCTCCCACTCGGCGATGTCGCCACCCAGTTTGATCCTCGCGAAGATGATGTAGAGAGGCAGCCAAGACAACACAAAGAGCACCACGACGACGACCAGCATCTTGACGACCTTTACTTTGGACTTCTGCTGGATCCGCTCCATCTGGGCATCCTTGGTATCCGTTGGGATGTGTCGTCGCCACACCTTGATCCAGATCAGGATGTAGCAGAGGGAGATCAGGATCATCGGCAGGACGTAGCAGAGCATGAGGTTGCCGATCAGGAAGAAGAGGGATCCGTCCTCTGGTCGAGGCCACTTCTCGAGGCACAGCCTGAGGTCTGGCTCGTCCCCGTAGATCGCCACCAGGTCGAAGAACAGAAGCCACGGAGATGTCGTCGTCAACGCGATGAACCAGATCACCACGATCATCAGCCGGGCTCGACGCTTCGTGATCTGGCACTTCAGGGGCCACCAGATCGCCAGGAACCTGCAAACGAAAGTCCCAGAAATGCTCAGAGTACGTCCAGGAGAACATTGCTTAATTGCATAAATCGACAAGTGGGATAAAATTCATTGTACTCCTGACATTTCCCCTTTTCTCTCGACCCTATAGGATTGGGAGCGGCCAGGTCGACCCATTCCGTTCTCCATATCGCTAGATCGATTAATCGATCTAACGTCATTAGCACTACATCAACGGTGTGGTTTACGCGTGCCTTGCAATTATTTTTAAGCGATTGCCGATCGGGAATGGTACTCTTGGCCTGATAACACTCTCAGCCCCCGAATTAGTTGCGACAGCGGTTAATCTAAAAATTGTATTTATTGCACACATCGAGTTACTCGGTACGTCTGTGTAAGGTTGCATCGAGAATGCGATACCTCTAATGACTGTAATCGAGTTTCGTGTAGTAAACTCTGCTCTTTAAGATAGCATGTAAAAACGATGTCGGAGTCCAGCTAGGGCCGTTAAAACTGGTAGAAATTTGCGCAATACGCGCTCCCAATGTAACCAGTTATTCTTGCGTGGCAATAATGTGCGTGGTACACAGGGAATAAATGTACATTCGCTGTTTCGAAATTGACCGGTGCGTCACGGTTCGGTGGACGCGCGGCAAGAATAGAATGCACCGCTTTCGCGGTTTAAAAATGATGCCCGGCCGTTTCCACTCGGTTAGAGATAATTAAACGACGCACGCCAGGAGCGAGCTCGGATTCGAGGCGACTTCATTATGCAATGACATAATGACTCGTATCGACCGATACTTGTCGCGGAGACACGTAAACGTCTCCGAAGGAAAGGGAGCGGTTGACACTCGATCCGCTCCGAAGGAACATTTTTTAATCTAATTTTCCCCCTCGACAGAGATACCGGGTACCGGAGCTTCCTTCTGGAGTCACCGCTCCAGGAGACCGGACATCGTCTCCATTGAATAACGTTAAAGGATTGCAATTCGGGACCACATCCCCGGGTCCGACAATTGGAGCCGAACGTCCTGCGTTGAATTGCAGATGAGCAGAGTAGAAGAGACGGTCGCAACAAATGCCAGGACTAAAACCACGGGTGGAGTGGGCCCTAAGGTTTGAATAATACATCCCGAAGAAGGTCTCGTAGGTCCAGGGCTTAAACCGCGATCAGGTCGCGCCACTTATGCGCCAAGCCGTAGAAAATGTGGTATGCAGTTCACGGACGACACCGGCGCCCTAACGAACTTTTCTAGGCCAGGTTCGCGTGCCTTCGAATCGATGATGGTGCACTTCTTTCGGTGTACCAGACCCACCGTTACATGCCGTTTGGTTGTTACGTCTTCGGGGCGAGCGGATTACCCGGGGTCTGCAGGTGGAACGGCCCTCGGCTGCCTAGCCCAGGTCATGGATGATCGATTCGCCCGAGTCGATCGATTGCCCCTTCAAAGGCCTTCCGCCGAGCGAGGAGATGCGGCCAACTTTTATCGAAGAAGTTGCTCTTCCATGTCGCCTAGATTCATCCCTTCGAGAGTCCATCGGCTGGAAACTCAAGAAAATCCGCCACCCCGGGTTTTACGCGCCCAACTCGGACCAGAAGGAGACAGTCCAAGATCTCGCCCTCTTCCGGACCTGGATCCAGCATCCGATGCCAGGTCCAGAACACTTCGGTTCTTCATCCCCCCACGGAGCAACCCCGTACATTCTCAGGGATCGATGTGGGAGCCAAAGAGATACGCAGATAGGTTGAATTTGTAATAAAAATTTATTAAAATCCGTATGAGTAGTGGGTTTTGGGTGTCGACGATCGAGAAGGTCGGGCAGGGGTGACGATGAGAAATTTCGGAGATGACGTCTTGGGGTCGATGCTTGCGATGGGTTATCGAGACTTGCTGCTTCGGTCTTCGGGTGTGAATTTTTCCTTGGTCCCGGGTGGGCTGGTTACCCCCCGGGGGGTGGGGCGGAAGGGGGTTGTTTCTTGGGAGCCGATTTTGGAGCTAAACTAGGGATCTAGCCGTGGAGAGACAGACCATGACCGCCCAACAGGAGGGAGCCATGGGACGGCAGGACCGTCCTGGTCACGATCGGGGCGGCGTGGACGATGGGTGCAACTGGCTGTGCAACGACGTGCGCTGCAACTGCAGGAGCGTGGCTGATGACGTTGGGAGCCACGATGGCTCCGTGGCCATAGCTGAACGGCACTCCGGTCAGACCTCCGGGAGCGGCAACGGCCACAGCCAAAACGGCGGCGAGGACAGCCTGTTCGAAAGCAAGGGTGATATAGAACTTCCACATATTTACACATATTTACACATATTTCCCCGGTAACTCATTTTCTTTTCTCTTTTCATGGAATCAGACGGGGTGGGAGAAGTGGTGCCGGCTAGAGCCAGGAGTGAGGCGTGAATATCAATGCCACTATTTCTGGGAGTGTTAGCTCCCTCCTGTCCCGCTAAGTGGTGACTTATGGGCGAATGTAAAGAGGATCTCCGTTATTGTTATTCCCCAAAAGAGGGATACCCGGGAAAGCATCCGTGTTCGAGCAGGGGAAGCACGTGAAAGACTATTTTTGGGACATAAGACGCTTTCGCTGGGAAGGGAAAAGCTCTTTTTCAGCTCGGCGAGAACCTGAGGAGGATCCTCCGAGTGGCGCGAGCTTTCAGGATTACGGGTGAGTGGACTTTTTACTATCGGCAACCGTGATCGCGATTTCCCAGATTTCCCGGAAACGGAGGAAAAATCATTAGGGGGTGGCGAGGGACGGACTCGATTTTTGATGGGGATTTTGTTCCACGGTTTGGCTGGGTACCGACAATAGCTCTTCGACTTTTCGAATCGTGCTCGAAGTGAAAGCCTGGTTCCTCGAAAAATGTCTAATTGCATGAGAACGGCTCAAAGACCGGGTCTGGCTGGACCTGCATCTCGGAAAAATGCTAAACTGCATTCCGTCTTACTGGCCTTCGAGCCGTGGGCTCTGCATTTTATTCGCCAACCAGGTGTTGGCTAACAATATGCACGCTCCACTGGTTTCACTTGCGATTCGAAAGTAATCTCGAAAATGGGGAGTCGTGAAAATTGGAAATCGAATTTTGAGTGGCGGATAAAAAATTCCCCGAAAATGGACCAAAATATGAAAATTGTTCCCATGAATCATATGTTAAGAGCGGTCCCGAAATCTCATCGTCTCTTAGAGAAATTATATAAAAGTATTCCTTGTATATCATTGTTAAGGGAATTTCGTAATTAGCTCTTGCCTCTTCAGGGCATCTACCGTTGGGTACAATTTTGTTAGGAATGGGCGATTTAAATTGTGCAAAAATCTCTTATAGGAGCGAAATGTTAATAGCGAGGTTTAGCGAAAATATAAAATGGCTGCTTCGTCTTACCAGCTTGAACATGTTGATTGGTTGATTGGTTTACTGCTTGAGGGCTAGTAAGCTTATGCTTCCACAGTGAACCACCGCCGTTTTATACGAAATCCGAAATTAAAAATTCTATCGCGCTGCGTAAGGAAATTTGGTCACGTGGGCCAATAAACGGGCTGACGACATATCGAGTACGCTTGAGTCAGCCCGCTGATAAAAGGTGGGGGATCGAACGACCAATAATTTACAGGACTCGGTTAGAACGTCACAAGGTCTGACCAATCCCCTGCTCTGGCAATCTAGAGTAACGCGTTTCGCAATTACCTTGGCTTTCAACCCTTGCTTCGAGATCGATTTACCAAGAGCCGGCGATTTTTATCGAGCCGAACATTGCACTGTTCATCTCCCTTCTAATTTAGTCAAATTGCCGGGCATTATGCTAAAAAGGCATCATCCCTCGTTCCCGTCTCCAAACCACCGGATAAACTCCACCAACTCCAGGGGGAGAAAATTAAAGAATTTATTTTTACTTTTCCAGAAACAAAGGAGGCGCAATTCCCTCGGAATGTCAAACCGCCCGACACCCTCCACTACGAGACGAAGTTTCGGCAGACAATGGACTCCTTTCATCTCTGGTAACTTTTTGCCACATGGATACTGGGAACATTCATATGCGGAGTTAATGAAAAATTTGACTTTGTAGGGTCAAGAAAAAAAAAAAAGTGGACAGTTCCCGCGGATCGACGAAACTGCAGGTTCATTGTCAGGAGGGATCCCGAATGCATTCACCTCCTGGAAATATGCGAGGCTTTGTTATGAAATCCCGACACGTGGGTGTCTTTCCTAGGATCGACCTAACTGGAGTACATGCGAGTTCTGCATTAGAGTACGCGAAGCCTCGCTAACGACGGCGGATTAATGAAATTGAAATTGCCACGAAGGTACCTCTCGGTACTCGAGCAAGTGCTCCGACTCGAGGCCCCCACAAAGGAGATTCCTGAGACGAAAGTCCCTCCAAGGTACAGGAATTCTCTCGGTACTTAATGTTCGCGTTATTTTTGACACGGCTAGGAGGTTTGTCTTCCCTCCCCGTGGCGTTCATAACTCGTTTTATTAAGCCATTAGCGTTTACAGCTCCATGCGTAACGCGCATCGCCGTGAAACGCGCGTTAAAAAGCAGTATTTCATTCCGGGCCCTCCCCCCGGAAATTAAAAAAGGGAAATTTTCTCGGAGCACCGCGGCGGTCTCTGCGGTTTGTCCGCGGTTTTTTTTTCACTCCTTTTCCGAGCCGCCTCAAGGCGGGGACCCGAAGGAAAAATTCGGTAAATCCGATACGTTTTAATTTACGAGAAAAGTTCCTCGCCGTACAGGAAGTGGATCGAATGACGGCGGCTCTGAAATCACTTAGGCATGGATAAGTGCCGGGTAAAGGTAATTCGAGCATGAAGGTGAGTTTAGTATTACGATAACTGGCTCGCCGCACTCGTAATGCGCATAATCCCGACAACAATGACTACGGAATTTGTCCTTTCATTCAGGAAGCCGCTCATTCATCACGATCGATCCTTGGAGTTCGGCTCGGAAGGTGTCATGGCTCTTGGCCGTTCCTCCAGGGGGTCGAAAACCGACGCAGTAAACGCGAGAAACGCAATCAAAGAGGTAAAAGACCCTCGCGATGCTAATCGGATAGCGAACAACTTCACCGGCATACATATCCGACCCGACTTAAGGCAACAGGCTATTTTACGTAATGCCGAGCATTGCCCTTAACTGAATAACATTGGGTGTGGAAAATCGGCGCATGACTCGGTAATTAGTCTTGCCTCTTTTTAATGCCTATTCAGTCTTGGCAATTACGCTCGATAAGTGACTGGGCGTGAATCGCGGCAGGGTGTTATTAATATGATTAGCGGATAATTCATTTTTTTAGCCCGCGGTTCATTGCACAACCGCGCTCGGCGAAAAACCGAGCGTTATTAGCTTTCGATTTTTCTATTCTTCCCAGGTTTTTCCTAGAACCCTGGAGGTTTAATCATTGCAGTTGATTAACAACTGCCAGTCACAGGGAAGGGGTGAAATGTATTCCTGGGCCAGGGAATAAGGGTTGGCTCGAGACGAAGAACGCTGCCACCGAAGCTGCGATCAGATATCGCCTCTTTGCATATTGCCCGTAAACTGCACGCTCCCCGGTAAAGGGGCGCAGATAGAATCTTTGTGTAATACCGGGATTATAAACGGGGAATAGAAGTAATTACACATTTGGGCGTGCCCGGTAAGGCTGTCTTGTGCAACCGCCATCGCGAAAATCGTGGCCTGGCGTGCAAGTACAAAATCAAGCGGCACAACGAACCGGTTGGGATAAATCTCCTTTCAGACGTCGGACTATTTAAAGAGAAATTAAATCCGAGAATATGCGCAGGACTTCTTTACAGATCCGCGAAAAATCTACCTCGAGGACCCTGCGTCTGCCAGCTGGAAATATTTCATCGACTCGGCTCAGACGCGCTATCGGAACAAGTGCACTTACGAGATAAAAGTGGCCGGAGAGGCGAAAGAGCGATCGCGGACGAAAAAAAAAAAAAGCCGGCATTTCGCGGATACGGCGGCCCCGAGAAGTCGTACGTCATCTAAATGACTTTACGTTCATAAGATTTTACGACGGGGTATTCGGCTGGATTTTACGGTTATCGTGCGAATGCTTCCAAACGACGGGGACGTTCATTCCGCGGCGTCCTTTTTCTGCGTGCACTGAACCCTCTTTCTATGAACATGCTTATACGCCCCGAAGTTCGCGCACAAGGAGCTCTCCTCTTCCGCAAATATTCCGTAACATCTCGGAATCTTCGGGCGAAACTTCCGAGCACGTATGTCTCTACAGACTGCATACATCCAGGGTCTTCTAAGTACCGCCTCGCGGGCATATTGCACATCTCGAAGTTGGAGCTAAAAAAAATCCCTCCTCCAAACACCCGTCATGAAGCGTTCGAAAATTGGCCTGAGAAAAATTCTAGATCCTTAATTTGGAAGGAATGAAATTAAAGTCAGGTGTCTCTTACCTGTCTAACGACACAGCGACGAGGCTGTACACCGATGCAGCCACGGAGACTCCTTGGATGTAGGGGACCGTTTTACACATGAACCAGCCCAGGACCCAAGCTGAAATAAAAAGTTCTCCATTATTTTCAGGAAACGGCGGATCCATAGGGCAAAGGGCTGATAAAAATGCAGGTATGCAGAAGTGCAAGAAGTATAGCCTCGCCTTTAGGATCGGATCGCGCTACAGAGAAGTTGGGCGAAGTGAAGGGCACCTGCTCCATAGAAAGGTAATCCCAATCATCGATCGAGCGTTAAGCATGTAATTATTCGAATGAATACGTAATCCCGAGCCTTTCATAATCCGTAGTGTGTCTCGGAGCTTACACAAATTCGTGTCACTTACGGTAATGTTATACACGAAAGGTGTTATACGCGAATATTAATCGAGATTTTCTCCTTGCACTTCATTTTGCCCACCGGTCTCGGTTCATAAATTCAGCTAAGCCGGCAATTACCCGGCGATAAACGCCAGCCGATAAGACGGGGTACTTTTTGATAACGAATTTAGAGGAGCTTTCCAATTTTCTGCCAGCCCGAATTCTCTCCATGCGCAATCGCTTCGACGATGAATTATGCCTCCACTTCTCTAAGGCGTGTAAACGTCCTCGATGCAATTTTTACCTTACGGTGAAAAGGGCGAGCAGGGGAGTGGTTACCTCGATACAAGTGTCTCGAGACATTTCCGGCATGATAAAAAGGAATTGGCAGTTCTGTAAATGTTTACCGGGTTATGTCGGGGTCACCGTCCCCTGCGGGAATTCGAGGGAGGAGTTCGGGACAGTCAAAGGAGTAAAAGGGGAACTGGGATACCTCGACAAAGAGCGAGAGGCTGGAAAGTGGAGAGGGAACCGAGGGAAAGAGAAAAGTATAAACAGGAGGAGCGGGAGAAAAAGAGAGGGGAAAGGCGGCGAATGGAAATGGCCATTCGAGATGGCTATCCGAGTTTAAGTGTTCCCCGAGCCATCCTAAAGTGGCCCTTAATTATTTTACGATCAACGAGAATGGCCATCTTCCCCGATTCTGCCCTGGAATGAGGCCCCCCGCGAAACTCCATCGCGAGGATCCTCCAAAACAATGAAATTTTTTTTTTCCCCCCTTTTTCTTTGCGAGACTCAGTGGACGCGTTTTGCATTACGATTTTTCGACAAAGGTCCTTGCGATTCCGAAGATGCGCGGAGCTTGGAGAAATTAATCCTATTTATATTGAATTTATTAAATGCAGCGATTACAGAAAGGGGCAAGGAGCATTGCATGCGTTATGCTGGAAATTTCAATGAGTAAATTCTTCAAACTTTTAATTGTACAATTTCTACAGAGGGATTGGCATTTACGATAGCTGTAAAGCCTACGAATATCTCGAAGGGCACGTAAGCTTCAGGTTGGAGATTAATTTCGACTAGCAAGGGAAAGGGGAAGCCTTGGGTAGCCGATACCTCGGCGATCTTGTCTTTGCACGAAGAAATAGTCGTGCAGGCCATGATGTTGCCATAACGAGCCGAAAACAAGGGCACGTCGTAGGGATTCCTCCATATATTGACATCGTTTCCAGGGACCTTGCTTTCTCGTGCACACGTCAATCCTCCCTTTCGCAGAAACAGTAATAGTATAGGTAACGTAAACTCTCGAGGATCTAGCCGCATTCGCGGATATTCCCTCCTCAAGTCTCGAGCCTTATCGAAATCTCGAGCAGATCTCGTCAAAGCGAAATAAGCAAATTTTCCGTTAATAAAGTTCGGGGGAAAGTGTTAGCGCCGTATCCGGAGCTTGAGTTCGGTCCTCGAATTCGATTGGGCGACCCGGCTGTGGATTGATTTTCATAAAATCGGATTTTACCTCTCGGCCGCGAAACGTACACATATCAGTCTGCGGTTTCGTATGCGGCAGACTGGAATTGCATTTCGCGGATTCGGCAGGAATAAAGTTTCCGGAAGCATGTCAAGGCCGAGCGCGCGGTATAGGCCAAAACCGAAGAGCGATTCCTTGTACAAAGGTAAAGCCAAGTGGCGGCAATGGCGGTATAAAAGTCCCTAGATAGGAATTTACACGACCTAAGGCAATTTGCCCATTGTGGCCCGCGGAGAGCCCCCGGAAGTGCATTACAATAGGGCCTTGTCCATCGAGTGCTCCTTCGTTTTTCCGCACTTTCGGAATATCTCCGCAATGCATAATTCATGACTTTTCGATCGGCGCCATTTAAGACCTCCGGAATCATTTTTTCCCCTCGCTATTCTTCGGGGTCGGTTTAGGGAAATCTCATTTCGGTCGAGCGAGGGTCGGGATAGGTGATCGCAATTTTCCAGCCGATCGAAGGCGAGTCAATATCGCCCTATATGCATGTAGGTCGACGACATCGAGGGATCTCGGACGATACGTTAAATCCTTTGAAGTGCCCCTTTGTGTCAGATAGGGCATAAGTGACAAGCACACATCGAGTAGTAGGCCAGGTCGGCGACTTCTTCATGGTTAGCCCAGGGCGCGCCTCTCGGCTAATCGGTGCATCGGTCAAGTCAGCAATGCACTTCGGAGCGGAGTCATCATCCCCTAAGTGTCCGATCGTGAGCAAGCCTTGGTCACGCCCGCCGGGGTGAAGGGACCTATTACCCCCGGGTGAGACGTCTTGCCCCCCCACGATGCACCCGGGTGCATCCCACGTGGGAAACAGTGTCAAATCTCTTCTAGAGTCTCCTTCCTCGACTCGGTGCATCGATCTCGGGAAAGGCGTCGACGGCCTTAAAAAGAGGAACGAGGCCGCCGAAGGAAGCGGCAAATATCGCCGATTACAGGACGACGACCGAGTCCTGGCTCGAAGTTTCCCAAAACTTATCCCGAGCTCCACCTTTCATCCGAAATACATTGCCAACTCCACCGGAATGATTAAACCCAACGGAGTTCCACCGAGCTCCGAGTCGTCCGGCTTTGATTTCGTTGATCGGTCCTCCCAGCGGTTAAAAAAAGAAAAAACAAATTATAAAAAGTATCCCATCTCGAGCCAGGGTATCGGATCCGAGGGCGTTTCCCATCTGGACCGAGAAAATTCCGTCCAGCATTTTTTAAACGAATTTCTCTCTTCTCATTTCCCACTCGCTTGGACTCGTGAGAAACGTCAACTAACTTTCGTTTCGACGCACTCTTTGACAGTTTGGATAGAGTGTGCAGATCTGGGAGGTAGATAGCATTTTCTAGCTCGCGTGGACTGGATACGGGAATCTACATATCCACGTATGGCCGGTTTCGTAATCATACGAGTCTCCTTTGATATGTAAAGTGCAGAGTCTGGCACATAACCGGTCGCTTTTTGCGCCGGTTTTTCATATGCGGCCGAACCGCCACCTCGACCTTCACCCTCCGCGGAGATATCGACATATCGAGGTATCGAAATACCATCGGACGTCGCGTCGAGAGTCTGCAGCCCTTTGGTCCACGTATCGCAGCATCCGGCATAAAGGACATCTGCATCCTTATGATCCAGAGTCTACGTCCTGCCGATTCTCGAGCATCATGGCGACAAAGGGGGTCGTTTCGATCTCCCCGCCAGATTCTATTATCGAATGCACGGGTACGTATACGTGTAACGTATAATATATGTACAACGCGTGTAGCCCTTTGTAGATAAGTCGGGCAGATACGAGGCGGCGCCCGCGATGGACCAGGTCTTTGTGAGCCCTGCGAATTTCATTACGGGGTCTAAAGAGGCCTTATCCAGCATCCGGAGGATCTCTCAGGGTCGTGCTCGAGAGGGAATGTCGCTGTCTAAAGGAAGAGACGCGAATTTCCTGCCGGGGGTGACTCGCCTCTGGGCGAGATAAAAATTCGATCATAACTCTCTTCCAAGATAAACTTATACAGAATTTCAGCGCCCGAGATCGAATTAATCCCGGCCTTGAGTGTTCGAACCGAAGTCCAAATTGCCGAGGAGATGGCGAGCGGGAAATCTGATTTTCCCCTTTCGAGGGAAAGGGCCCATGGCTGGCTGAACCTTGCTAATCCCCGACCTAGAAAGCAACCCGTTCGAAAGGAGGAGCCGGATCCGTCCTCCCTAAGTACGCGTAATACAGACCTGTCCGCCGATTTGTGGATCCCTTCGATATCCCAAGGAAGAGCTTATCGTCGCCTCGTTAACGCGTCGCGCTATCCGAAATTCGGCTCCGAATTTCAGCTGGAATTATTCCGCGTTTATCTCGGATCTGCATCCACTTGGTCGCTCTTCTGAATGTACAGGAGACCGGAAGGATAGTATCGGTGGAATCGATTGGGAATCCTGGAAACTGGAAAAAGGAAAGCTCTACCAAAGATGGCGGCTCCTGCTGCCGAAGCTAATGGGTCATACAGCTTCGACTTCGATACGCTGAACGAGAAACCTTTTTCCCGCGAGACAGAAGGCGACTCGCGAAGTGTCTTCGAGAACTTTTAAGCATCTTAGCGAACAGTCGAGGGCACCCTCGCTTTGATGTAGATCCGCCGGAGAAATAAGCGACCCGGAGTTGGCTGGAAGAATATCCGAGTTAATTCCAGCTCCGTGGAACCGATGCCACCTTGGGAATTAGTTTAAACATTCGGCATCTCGTTACCGAGAGGAAGGACGAGATTGGAAATATTCCGCCAGCTTGCGAGAAAGTTGAAATTGAAACCGGGAAGGGTATCGTCGTTTTCGGACATCTGGAGGAGAGGCTAAGTTGGGCCCATCTCCTGGGGAGATACGTCCTGCGGTTCGTCCTTAAGGCTGGCGTCGCATCCAGAGAGTCCTGGATGAAAGCCTATACCGGAAGGGGGATCCTAATCAAGCCCGAATTATTTGGCCCACGTAGGACGATTTCCGGTGGTCCAATTAAAGGATCTCGTGACTTACTTCCTCGTAACCTCCGAGCTGCCGTGAGATGGAAGAGCTTCTCTCGAGAGACGGCTATCTCGGTATTAAGGGTACTTCTCGTCGGCAGTCCTATTTTGCTATCTTCCCTCGGACGCTGATAAACTCGGAGGAAGAGGAGGAATCCTGACCCGCGCTCTCTCTCTCGGAGAAATTAACGGAGCTGTAATGGACCTCGGTGATTTTTGGGGGTTTA